TTGACTATGTCTTGCAAAATGACAAAGCACACAATCCACACAAGCAAATCCCTATCAAGGCTTAGGTAAAGACACAAGCCAACAACGCATCATATCATCCTATCCCGAGATTAGGGAATCTACTTACTCTACTTGACAAAAGCAAGATCTAGTGAGGACCAAGAAGGTGGCGTGAGGGAGAGGTGGTGGTCGACCAAGTGGGGTAGATATGAAAAAGAGAAAGAGACGTGAGCAAGAAGGCCAGATGGTGGGGTAGACAAGAGAGAGGGAGGCGTGAGAGTTGGTGACGGTGTGAGGAAAAAGGGAGAATAAGTAGGGACAAGGGCTATTTATAGAGTGGTCCACTACTGCCCTTTATGAAGAAAGAGCCAAAATTCTAAGTTAATAATGAGGATGGCTTGAAAGTCTTTGGCCATCATTAGTCTTCTTCTTCAAGCTTTCAATGAGGACCATATGTTGCTAACTTGGTTTCCAAGTTGCCAATCTAGGGTCATGATACCCTAGATTGACAACTTACAAAGGAAGTTGTCAAATTATCTTCTAGCCCATAATTCCCTTTTTGGGCATGAATCACTCTCTAGACCCCTACAATTATTGATTCTTGTAAGACAACTCCATTATTGGTTCATGGCTCTATTATTGGTGGCTTGAGGGGTAGGTTTCATTATTGGCCAACTTATCTAAGAAGTTATCAATAATGCAACTACTAAGTCAAGTCAACTTGTCTTCTTGTTTCAAGAAGCTCTTAGGCATGAACTATGTGTCCTATTTCAAGAACACTCAATTATTGGGGCCATTGCTTAATTCTAATGGCACAGCTTCCTTTAAACACCCAATTTTCACTAAAACTTGACTTAATAAGGAACTAAGGTAATTAGAGGTTTTCAAGTGCCATAAACGATCGACTATCCCATTTGGACCCGAGGTTCGATGTAAAATATGTCCGAGTATGTTTGGACATTACCAAGCCAAAGACTTGGCTAAACGGCGCAAGGCCAAACTAGCCATATTGTCCTGGTACATGGCCTGTTCGGTCAGGCCTGACTGGGCGCAGGGCCTGGCACACGGCCTGGCCGCATGGGCACAGGGCCGGGTACACTGCCCGGCCATACGGGCGAGGAGCCGAGCACATGGACGAGATACACGAATGAGGGACCGGTTCATGGACTGTACACATGCATTGGCTCATGGGCAGGCACAATGCATGGCCCGTGGTCAAGTATGATCAGCACGGAACTAGTTCTGGACCGGAATCGATGGGCACAAGGCCTGGCACATGAGACACAATGACTGGCACATGGCCGGGCACGGGATGATTGACGGGCTTACGACTGGTCCATGACCAGGCACAAGGCCTGGCTTGCACGGCTGGCACAAAACCCGGTCCGCGACTAAGCCATTAAGCTCTTGGCCTGGCACACGGCTCGTCCATGGCCGTTTCGCGATCGGTCCATGTTTGAGCATCAACGATCCATGGTCGACCTTCAATTGTTATGTAGTCGCGTGGAATCAATCACAACGGAATCGGTCCATGTTCGCCCGTGACCAGTGCATGGCCGTGCGAAATCACCCGCAATCGACTCATGCACACATGGCATCGATCCATGGTCGTCCAGGATCGTTCCGCTGCTGACCCTTATGGTTGAATGATCGATCCATGATCGAATCACTCTAATCGACTTGCGTGACTGGGAAGTCATTTCATTGCCGATCCCTTGACCGATCCATGGACGATCCTTCGATCGAACCATGATCGATTCTTTAAATACCCGTTCCGACCACACCAACCGATCCATGACCGACCCTCGGATCAATCCGCTCGCCAATTCCATGGTCATTTCCTTTGGTCAACTCGGTCCAAATTGGGGATGTCACAATTACCACGACCAAGAGCTCCTTGACCATTACGAGGCACCATAGCCTGGAGGTTTGGGACTGGGAGTGTAACAAGCAGCCCAATAATACACTTCCTCTATGGAAGGTAGAGAGCCAAGAGGAGTAATCTACTACCTAAGGGCATTGTTATTTGAACCAAGACCTCGGAGGAAGAGGACTACCACCATATCCGCTTCTCGTTGCTGCATATGAATAACTGTTGTAGCCGGTGGAAAATAGGATTTGAGACGCTGATAGAAAGACGAAAAATGGGCATAATACTCTGCCAACCCGGCATCACCAATTTTAGCTTCAAATAAAGCCTTTCACATAATGCGAACTCAACTCATATTATTCTATCCAAAATAAAGTAAAGCACATTTTGTCCACACCTCATAGGCTGTCACACAATCCATGAAAAGATGGCAGACAGATTCAACCATACTTCACTGTAAAATAGTATGCAACGCAGCATTAGTGACCTTCTACTATTCTAGAGTAGCCAAATCTGCAAACGATTCTGCTTTAAGTCATATGGACTAGCGGTTAACATAAATAAAAGTAGAAAGATCCATTGACTAAGTAGGATAATTGGTACTATCCAACTTGACCAAAGTAGTGTGTAAATCTGTCATAGCAGGAGTAATAGCGGTGTCAAAAACTGAATCAAAATCGAAACCGAATCGAAATTTTGTGGATTTTTGGTTCGATTTAGATTTCAATTCGGATAATGAAAATCTAACCATTCTTTTTTGCCGGTTCGAATGGTTTTGATTCGGTTCATAATCCGAATCGAATCAAACCATTAATTTCATATTTCGAAACCCCAGCATTTATTCTTCTCCACTACAATCTATTTTTCCTCCATCACCTCCTCCTCTTTCTCTTCCGATAGCATTGGGCTCGCGCTCAACCCTCTCTCCACGATGAAATTCCTCTCCTGCAACAATGCGGCTACGTTCCCCGCATCCCTCAAATAGCCTCCTGAAATCTGAATTTTGCACTCTAGGGCCTGAATCCGGAGCTTCAACCTGACAATCTCGCAAAGGAGGGACTCCTTCTCGCGGGCCCACCTCTTCTCCTCACGGAGCCACAGCTGCTCCTCCCGGAGCCAGCGGGACTCCTCGAGATGCTAAGAGGACATGGAGGTGGTGGTGGGACTTGGGGAAGAGGCAGAGAGAAGAGGGTTTGAAGATTGGGAAGGTGAGAGAGGATAGGTGTTGGTGGTGGACTTGATGGTGGGATATGGAGTATAGAGGCGAGTTGGGATCAACGAGCAGGATGGAAAAAGAAGAAGACATGAGAGAGAGATATCTTGCAGAGAAGGAAAAAAGTAAAAGAAAAAGAAGGAAAGTGAGTTTTTTTCTTCTTTTTTTTTTCAAAAAGGAAAGTGAATTTGACCACGGTTAAAAAACAAAAAATCGAAAATCCGAACCGAGCCTAACAGGGTTTTCGGTTCGGGTTGTGTTTGGTTCGGATCACAGTTTGGTTCATAGCAAGCTCGCACCTCAACGGTTCGGTTTGATTCGGATTTTTAAGCCCTAACCGGGTTTTCAGTTCAAGTTGTATTCGATTCGAATCATGGTTTGGTTCATAGCAAGCTCACACCTCAACGGTTCGGTTTGGTTCGGTTTAAAATCCGAACCTAACTAAACTATTGACATCCCTTTAGAACCACTATGATAAGCACCAAAGGATCTTGAACCAGGACTAAAAGTAAGGGAAATCACCCCCAAACCGAATGACGAAGAGCTTGCCGGATCAATAGACATATCCACAAATCAAGAATAAAAACACTACAAGCTACCATAGCACCACTAAGAGCACTAGAGGGTGAGATTTAAAGACATTTTTGCATTTTGGACTTACTGTTAGTGGACTATATACCTGAATAACCCTTACACACGGGTGGTTGACTACCTAGGACCTAGTCAATTAGTTGGGTACCACAACAACAAAAACGCCACGAACATACATGAATCTCACCCAAGCCACCATAACTTTGTGATCCAATCACCATATCAGCACAAACAACTCAACACCAGTCAAACCACACCTTGAAGAAGCAAACTCAAGGAAAGAGACGATCCCAAACTATTTCTAGAGGAAAGAGACACCAACGATCATCGGCAACAAGGACCGAAGAACTTGTCGACGGGACGAAGTGAGGCAAGAGAGACGAGAGGGAAAGAGATTCTTGCTGGCGATCACAGCAAGGGCAAGAACCATAGCGGCGGTAGCGTGGTCGTTCGTTCTCTCTTGCGTATGAATGTCTTGCTCTAATACCATGTCGTTGATAAAAGAGAAAATATTTTATTATTAAGAAAAAAAAAAGTATTTGTAGGCTTAGGTTAAGCCTTGTACAACTATATGGACCAAATGCATAAATAGACCCAACTTGCTAATACTATAGAATAATAAAGGGACGAGTGCATTAGAAATCCTAAAAATTATCACAAAAATGCAATTGAATCCTAAAACTTATCACAAAAGTGCAATTGAGTCCTAAAACTTTCAAAAAGTGTAATCAAGTCCTAAAACTTGTCAAATTATTTCAATCAGGTCTTTCCGTTGATTATACTTTGTAATAGTTTTAGAACTCGTTCGCTCTTTCTTAACAAGTTTTATGACTTGATTGTCCTTTTTAAAAATTTTAAGATTAGATTGCACTTTCGTAACAAGTTATAAAATTTGATTGTACTTTGGTAACAATTTTAAGACTTTATTGCACTTTTGTGACAAGTTTTAAGATTTGTGACAAGTTTCAGGATTATAAATAATAAACCCGACAAGTCAATTGCCCATGGTCTAAGTCAAAGATCAAGCATCGTCCTCGGTTCAAAGATTTCTACAGAAACGGGCCTTTGCCGCTGCTTCACTCTCATAGAGACAAGTTCACCGAAAAAGATTCAAAATTCCAGTGCTGACCCGAAAGCAACACTCTGTCACAATGTCATCGTAGCCAGGGGACTTAGGAGAGACAGAATTTGTAACAACAGAGCACCAGTGCTGAATTTGATAGTTTATCAGCTCATTAACGAGAAGTAATATAAATAACAAACTCCTCTCTCTCTCTCTCTCTCTCTCTCTCTCATCCAAAGCAGCATTTAGGCACCCAGATCACATTTTGAAGAACATAATTGATAGACAGAGTTTGACACATAAGCATGAAGTTACATCGTCACAGAAAGCAGTTAAGATCTGTTTAGAGACACAACAGCTCTAGAGAAATTTGTCTCAGAGAGTTGTAATCTAAGTTCATGTAGGTCCTCTAGTTTTGGCCTCAACATCCGCAAGAAGACCAGTCCAGAACTATGCACACAATAACAAACACCACCTGGGTTCACTTGATTATTAGCCAATTGTCTAGCCAGAAAAACACAAGGCTTATCAGTGCACACCAATTATCCTGCGCAAATGAGCCAAGTGCTTCCATGTCATCAGAGGCCACTTCTCTATAGCATGAGCCAATTGAATGCAACCCAAGTCCACAAAAGATAGGAAAGATACACTTCATGACCGATCCAAACACTGGAGTTGTTGAAGTAATCGACTTTCTACCAATCTGAGTTTCAAAGAGATAAGATAATGGCATAACGTGAAACATCAGAGAATTCTTAGTCAAATGAAAAAGTAGATCAAAGAAGGTGTACATTTTGACACTACATTGAATGATGGGAAACGAAAAGATTTACCAGAGAATGTTATCCCAATGAAGGAAGCCGCCATGGCCTCTGGCATTACTGAATCTATAATTGGCACCAGACACTAGAAACAGAAACAAGAAGATGGTGTCAGAGCAACAGAAGTTTTCCAGTAGTATTCATCCAACTGTTCCAACTCAAAAGTAGGACTGTTGACAACCAAAGTCAATAGCTCAGTCAATAATACCTTCGTAACCACCAAAAACTGGATCTTCTGCTAGCAGTAAGGGAGTATCAAGATCAATGAACCTGCAGATTGTCGAACATATTAGTCCTTTTTTCTTTGGCAGTAGTAAATTATGCGAACTCAAATTAACTTTTCTGCGATGAAAAGCATTTAATGCTTTAAGGAACTGTGTATCAGATAAACAAGGTTTACTTAGCAACAGTATCAGCAGAAATGGCAATACTTACTTGAAACAACCAAAGCCAGCAGCAAGGTGGCCAGCGAAGCCCATGGCTAGCCTAGTCTCAACCATACCACCGATCATCAGGTCCAAATCATGTGGTCTTGCAAACTCAATAATGTCAAGGGCCCCAAGCACTCCGAGTTTCGCGAGCTTTATGTTAATGACATTTGCTAAATTTCCTTTTACGATTGTCTTGACGTCATCTAAACTTCGGCAGCTCTCATCAGCTGCGACAGAAATCCCATATTTCCCTATAGCAATTCGACTGACATGTCCAAGACCTGCCCAATCATCTCTATGAACTGGCTGCTCAAAGAGAATGGGAGTAACCCCCATCTCTGTAAAGAATGAAGAAAAAAGAGTTAAGAAACCTAGATGGCAGTAAATGAATGAGACAGAAAGTGTTCGAAATGCAAGGAAATTGAGGCTGTCACATTAAGCAGAAACAAGGTTTCAAAAACCTTCTTTTTTTTTCAGTTAAGCGAAAAGAGGAGAGAGAAAGAGAAGGTTCATAATCTGCTGACTTTTCGATCCAGGCATAACAAAGATAGATTTTGCACGTCCATAACATTCTTTACCATGCAGTTTATCAAGAACTAGAATAGCTTCTGAAGACTTGTATCCTTCATTAGCATCCAGAATAAATGAACAAGTAGGGTGCACAGCCCGTATTGCTCGAAGAACCTCAATATCTGCTTTCAGATCCTTGCCCACCTTGAGCTTCAAAGTTTGGAAACCCTGTTTCCGATATTTAAGAGCCAAGTCAGCAGCTTCAGCTGGTGACACAATTGGAATCTGCACAAGTGGTTGACAAACTCAATTGAAATTCTCTCCCAAAAAAAAAAAAAGCAAAGAAACTGAAATCAAAGACATTATTTATATGTAATTCAAAGACAGAAGGAGTAGGTGGCGTGGTCAAGATCAGACGTCTTTAGGAACTATCCTCCCACTTGATAATCAATATAGAAACTTAACTGTTATGTCTGTTGTTAATGTATTCGAAGCTCCACCAAATAATTTCCACAATGGTGTTCCGATGCTGTTGGCAACTGCATCAATCAATGCCATCTCAACTCCTGCCCGAACCTTCAATTGAAGATATATGATGTCATTATAAGAATAGTAATAATAACAATAATAGTCACGAAAATTTTAGGGAATTTGTGACTGGGATACCCCGATTGGTAGAAAAATTAGTCTCGTAAGCACACACTGCGTAGCCACCAAGCCCATTACATTTTCAGAAAAAACAACAAATATCTTCTGACATTACAACAGGCCCGACTGATCACAAAGCCAAGATAGATTAACTATTTCATTCTATGTCAGTTCATTGAATTATCTCAATGCTAGACTCTTCCACAAGCAAGCTGCTTTTCAGCTTCAACTTCACCGGACCATGTCACTACAGGTTTTGAAACAAACTTATATTAACATACACAGTGCCTATGATCCACAATAATGCTGAATGAAATGTAAAAAGCTCAATCAATAACCACACAAAACATTCCGAAATATTCAAAATAAAGTACAGTCAAATTCAAAACCATCAACATTGCAATATTTCTCTTTCTTGACAGAGTTACACATAAGTTAATCGACCTAATTTTGAAATGACCCCTCCATGAATCCTATCACATTCACATAACCAAACAAATATCAATGCACATTGACGAAAATTCACTCACGGTGAATGCAAAATCACCCAGTAGCAAACAACAGGAAGTAAATGAGAATCACAGCCTAACATGTGAACTTGAATGGAGACAAATATCGAGATGCAAAGGTCTCGAGTTCGATTCCTCAGGAACTCCTTCGAAGTTCTCACTCATTTATGGGTGAACTTTACGTGTTCTTTTTGACCCACATATATGAGATTTGCACACACCATTCATGTCTACGTTTTCTAACAGAGAGTAAGCAGCACACAGATCACCAAACTAAAACAAATTGAGCCCAAAATCTCGATGGAAAGAACTCACAGAAGCGAACTCATGTCCAGGAAGAATCGCCGCAATCTCCCCCAGAGCTCTCCCCAGCCCCATCGCGGGGCTCCTCTTCAACGCCTCGCAGGCCTCCCTCGCCTTCTCCAACGCCGTCCCCTGATCCTCCGCCGTCACGGACGGCAGGACCGGCGCCTCCCCCCACCCCGCGCAGCCGTTCCGCAGCTCCACCCGCACCGCCACGTTGCCCACCCCCTCCAACCTCGACGTCGCGATCGTGAACGGCGCGACCAGCGGCACGTCCAGCGCCCTGCTCTCCGCCCTCTGCACCTCCACCGCGAACGTCTCCATCAGGCTGCCGAGCCCCAGCACGACCGGGGCCGGCGGCCGCGGCGGCGCGACAGGGTTGCAGTGGGCGCCTATTCGGATGGTAAAGGTCCGGTTTTTCGGCGAGTTTCGAGTGTGGGTGAGGCGATCCTGGATCGAGCGCGCCAGGGAGAGATTCGACGCGAGCATGACGGTGGTTTTGGGGGGTTCTGAGGAACTGGGTATTCGAAATTGAGGGCGGGGGAGGGAGAGGGGGAGTGAAGGGCCGCCATTGACAAGCTGTTCCTCTGGTTGCTTTTGTTAATGGTGGGGGTCAGACCAGAACAGAGAGAGACAGAGACAGAAGAGAGGAAACATAAACAAAGATGGGTTTGTCTGTCGTTTTCTGGTTTCGGGTGGGGGAGGACCGATGTGACATGAATGTGGGGGAATCTCTCTGCGTTGCTTCGGTGGTTCCTGCAATGGTGGTGGCATGTGCTTTGTCTTCTTCCCGGAGAAAACTTCCATTGCATTATTTTGCTGAGCTGAGCTAAAACATGATTGATCCAATATATAATATGTAATATGATTCCTTAATTTTTAATTTATATAAAAAATACATGAATTATATTGTACATATAATATTGAACAAATTAAAAATTTAAAAATTATATTAAATATTAAATCAAAATTCAAAAACTGTTTATGTCATTATCCCCGTTTAAAATTTAGGCAAAAGATCGTTTCCCCTCTGGAAGAAAGAAATCAAAGTACGGGTCCAAAACATGATTTGTGATTTGTTTAAAGTAAGTGACCAGAAACAAATTATAGAATACCTTTGGCCTCCTTTTTTTTATATATTTGGAAAAAAGATGGTAAGAAGACTTTTGAGTACTAGAGTCCAATGCATGCTACAAGCCGACTTTATCGCAATGGGATTGTGCATGTGCATTGTGTGCTCGGGATGGATAAGAATCGATTTTGCAAAGTGTCCCTTCGACGCTCTCTAGGGTTCTCTGATTAATTAATTGAACCCTAGGGCTCTCTAGGGCTCTCTAGGGTTCTCTGATTAATCAAAAGAAAAGAAAAGATTTAATCTTGTCGGGCCGACAAGGCTATGAATTTTTGGTGTGGGCTTGTGTATAAGATTTAGCACGTTGGGCCGGGAGGATCTAAATTATTTGAGGAAGGAAAGACAAAACTTTCATGTCTAGAGTCCAAGACATGATGGTGATGGTGATGGTGATGGTGATGGTGATGTATATCTCAAGTGGAGCTTGAATCGAAATCCCACATATAAAAGCTCCAATCAGAAAGTGGATGAAGATCCCCCAGCCACAATTCAATTTCCATAAGAACCTCAATTTGACGCTTGTAATTTTGGTGACCCTTATGGCCGAAAGAGAGAGAGAGATTTTGTGACCCTTGGGCCCTAAAAATCATTGGCCTGTGAGATTGCAAGGGGGCGTTCATCTCTAGGGTCAAGAAACCGTACACATAGATCATATGTAAACCCATTGAAATAGCTTTATCACACACACACATGTATATGATTATGTGCGCGCGCACCGAAAGTGAATGGAAACACCGACATAAACCACAAACAAGCATGGAGGACAAGAGAATTGCGTTGTGTACTTTCCACCCCGTCTTACGTTGTACCATTATTAATGTCCCAAAAGTTTGTTTACTCCTCGGCTTTCACCTGCATCAAAGTTGACATCATATGTGGAACATTCTTTTTCCATCTTTTGGCATAGAACAAAGAAGTACATCAACAACCACTAATTAGTGAATGTCACAACTCCTACCAACTCCTGCGTCACGAGTAGTCCAAACTCCTTTAGAATCAGCCTCCACCACCATCAAAGTTGACATTGTATATGTAGAGTATTATGTTAGGATTAGGCGCACAAACAAAACAAAATAAAGAATAAATATGATAAAGAGAAATCGAGAGATAACATGCATCTTGATTCAACTCTCAATTACAAGAAAAATGGATTATATGAAGGCAAGAGCTATTCATGAGCTCAAACCCAAATTACCTATAAAATACGAGCCTGAACTAAAAAAACTCTCTGGCGGCTCGGGGGCACTAGCCCCACGACCCTCGTCGGGGCAGACCCTTCGAACCCTCGCCCGCTCACCGAGGAGCGGGACCTCCGTACTTTCATGTCAATGAGGAGTATGAACCATACTTCAACATATTCAAACTCGTATACACTTGAAATTTTCACTTATTTTAAACCGAGTGGATTCAAAAGAAAAGAAAAAGATTTAATCTTGTTGGGCCGACAATGCTATATATATTTTTCGTGTGGGCTTGTTTATATGATTTAGCACGTTGGACCGGATGAATCTAAATTATTCGAGGAAGGAAAGACAAAACTTTCATGTTAATTGGCACTATAGTCCAAGACATGATGATGATGATGATGATGATGTATGCTTGAATTGAAATCCCAACAAATAAAAGCTCTAATCAGAAGGTGAGACAAGACCCACTAGCCACGATTCAATTCCATAAGAACCTCAATTTGACCCTTGTAATTTTGGTGACCCTTTTGGCCGAAACAGATATTTTGTGACCTTTCAGGCCCTAAAAATCATTGGCCTGTGAGATTGCAAGGGGCGTTTATATCTGGGGTCAAGAGACTGTGCACATATAGATCATATGTAAATATATATTATATATATATAGAAATAGCATGGATATATGTATGCGCGCGCACCGAAAGTCAATGAAAACACCGACACAAACCACAAAAAAGCATGGAGGACCAGAGAATTGCATTATGTACTTTCCACCCCTTCTTACCTCGTACCATTATTAATGACCCAAAAGTTTGTTTACTTCTCGGCTTTCACAAGCATCAAAGTTGACATTATACTCAGAACATTTTTTTTCTATTTTTTGGCATAGAACAAAGAAGAACATCACATCCACTAATTAGCGAATGTCTCAACTCCTACCAACTTCTACGTTATGAGTAGACCTGTAAAAAATGAATGGGTCATATGTGGATTACTTTAATTTTGAAGAGCCTACTTTAAATGGGTTTTAAAATATGAAGCCTAAAATAAATGGGTCTAAATGAATTAAGTTTAGAACCCATTTCCAATCCATTAGGCTCACACACACACTCTCTCTCTTTAGACTTATAAAAATATTTTAAAAAAAGATCGAAATTATGATTTAGTTTTTTCTTTTTCATTTTTTCTCTTTTTCATTTTTTTTCCTTTCTTTCTTTATCTTTTTCCTTCTTCCTTGGCTAGCGGCTAGCCACGATGACAGCCAGTGACTGGCCACAGGCGAGGGACGAGCTCACCAGAGGCCGACGAAGCTCAAGCTCGCTGATCTAGCGAGGCCGAGGCCTCGCCAGCCTTAGGCGATGCTCGAGCCTCATTAATTGGACGAGCCTCGAGCTCGCCGATCTTTAGTGAGGCTCCAGCCTCGCCAATCTAGCGAGACTCGAGCCCATTGGCCTCAGGCGAGCTCAACTTCGTCGATTCTGGCTCGGCTTGGCTCGTCGGAATCGGGCAAGCTTGAGCCCCACCAATTGCTACTAGAAATTACTGACATGGCATCCAATCATCGCCGACCGTCGACACGTCAGTGATTTCTGGCGGCAATTGGCCGAAATGATTATATTGGAATTTTTATGTAAAGGTTTAAGACTATGTTGGCAAAATTGAAAATCTTAGATTGAATTGACATATGTACAATAAATTTAAGACTAAATTGGTGATTTTCTCGTTTTTGCAACTGCCAAAGTATATCTTGCTATCTTTCGTGAAAGATTGTTTAAGTTTTCAAACAACCTATTCACCTTAGGTTGTATTGTTAGCCCTAGTAACTCAAAGTAAAATAAAGTACTAATGAAAATTAATGAAGAATTGCAATATTGTAGACAATGTGGGATTTTTTTTCTTTTGAATATCTATCAATACTATATCTAATTTATGATGCCATTAAAGTGTATGTTATATAATTGGTGCCAAGATATCCTAAATTATAAAAAAAATGTTGAATTATCATTAATTTAATAGATCAACAGATGATGGATAAAATTGCGTGACCTATTTCTCAAATTGACAGTTGATAATGTGTAATGCTCAAACTAATCATATTCGCTTGTCGTTAGCTTGTTGGCAATGCATGAGAATTGAGAAATCATTTTGAAAAACCAAGGAGTATGAAAATCCATTTCTCCATTCAAAAGGGCAACTATAAAGCATAATTAATTTAGTTTGATAAATGGTGAATGTGTTAATAAATTGCAATATCTGGAAAAAAAATTGACAAGATCATTTCATCGTACTTTCAAAAAGTTCTATTTTCCCTTGTATTGCACGTGTCCTTTTCTAATTTGCCTAGAACTTAAGAGCCCATCCTTTATTTGTTTTTCTTTTCTTTTTTTTTAAGCGAAATCCCTATCCCATCAACAACTTGATTAACCCTTTTTGTTGAGGACCATTCTTCAAAAGAATCCACTACAACCAAATAATTGCAATTAAAAATGCGATTAAGTTCGAGCACTAAGAAGAGGATTGGATTGGACTAGTTCTAACCTCCCCAAGTCAAAGTCAAGTTAAAAAAAAAAAAAAGTGCCATAATTACTCATATTAAAATGGCCATTATTGACAGGACGTCGACACTTTTGTGGTTGGCCTTTTTTTTTTTTTGGAAAAATTACCAATTTTTTTAAATCTATTACAATTATATCAATTCCAACCCTAAATTATTTTTTTATCAATTGAGTCATCAACTTTTTATATTTGTGTCCATTCAATCTATTTGACTAATTTTAGCCCGGAATCGCTAAAATGCCCATTTTTGAATTATTTATTTATTTTTTCCTTATTTTTCTTTTCTTTCTTTCTCTTTTTTTTTTCTTTCCTTATTCCTCTAGCTGGCGAGATTAACCTTGCCAAAGGAGGGTGACCTCGCCCACCTCGCCCTCTGGCCTATCGTTGAGGTCTGGTGACCCTTGGCGACTGGCTAGAGGAAGAAGGGAATAAAAAAAAGATAGAGAAAGAAAAGAAAAAAATGGAAAAGATATTAATATACTATTAAAAATTTTCTACATCAATGTCGATCGCACCAATTAGGACAGCTAGTGTTCATGTTAGCGATTTTCAGTCAGAATTAGCCAAATGGATTGAATTGGCACAAATGCAAAATGTTTAATACTCAATTGGCAAAAAAAAAAGATTTAGGACTAAACTGACATAATTGCAATAAGTCTTAGACTTTTTTGGTAATTCTCCCATTTTTTTTCCAAATAGACAAGATCTAAAGATATCACCTAAACCTAGGCCATCGATTAAGGGTATCCATAGTTTATCAAAGAAAATAAGGATATTGGCACAAATGGTCCCTGAATTTTGGCCCAATATATAATACGATCTCTAAACGTTTAATTTGTTCGATATTATCCATGCACTTTTAATTTATTCAATACGGCCTCTAAACTCCTGGTTATATTCAATGCTAACCCTAAATTATATGAAAATATTCAATATTGTCTTTCTATTAATTCATTATTAGAGAAAACATTGAACAATTTCATATAATTCAGGGACTAGATTGAATGTCCCAAAAGTTCAAGGATAATATTGCCTTATTAGGCAAAAGTTCAGAGATCACATTAAACAAATTAAAAGTTTATGAACCGCATTACACATTGGACCAAAATTCAAGGACCATTCTGTCATTTTTCCAAGAAAATACTAAGAATGAAGGTATTGCTAAAGCTAAACGGAGACACTCAAAGCACACCAATCTTAAGGGAATCCAGCCCAAGTGGATCGCGGAATCACGTTTATATTTCACTCCTTTTTGGCCGTCCTAATCAGTGCTAATCACACGTAAGTTATACTCAGGTGCTAAGTGAGGTTTTGCTAGCAGCTACTCACATTATTTTTGGGAAAGCACAATAATGACTGTCCTTTCTCACATCACACTTGCCAATTTCTCTCCCCAGAAAAGGAAAGGAACACGAGTGTGTGCACAGCCAAATGCTAGTAATAGTAGATGTTCATGAACACATCCCACAGCACACCCGCAAAGAGAGTAAATAAATTTAAGTGCCTCACTGACTGACTCCCACTATCCTTCATGTCAGCTATGTGATGGTCTTTGTCTGCCTACTCTTAAGCTAACCACATGCAAAAAGCAGTCTTGGTGTCGTTTTACTTTCGGAACGATCATGATGAAAGTATATTTTGCAAAGTAAATAGCAATAAAACCTTTCAGTGGATAAAACCCTAGTCCTTGTAGAGGGAGAGAGAACCTACACCTATATGAGTAGGCGACCTCATTAGGAATAATGCTTACACACACCCCCACCAAGCAGCCCCTACTTATATAGCTAGGAGAGCTAGTGCATGAAAGCTCAACACCTCAAAGCAACCACAGAGGGAACACACACACACACTCTCTCTCTCTCTGACACACATACACCCACAAACAGAGATCAAATGATGTGGAGGGAATGGAAGGAGCAGAACAATGGGATCATCGGTGGTGGCGGAGTTAGTGAACGCCTGTTACTGTTGTGGGCAGCTTTGCTTGCTCTCTCTCTAATATCAGCCATTCTCTTGTCTTGTGCAGAGGGTGCGCCATCCTCCTCCAAGGACAGATCAGCTCCTGCTGACGACTCCGGCTTCTATGGTGCTGGATGCGCCGCCGGTTGTGGCGCCGCTTGTGGCGCTTGATGATGCTGTGGGTGGTTTCTAATTCTCACTAACTTCTCATGAATTTGAGATGTGGCGAGAATTTACACCATTCTGTTTGTACATCAAGGAAAACCCGAGAGTTAATCTAGATCCACTTTACTAATTGTTAAAGTGATTAGCTGGTATTTGCAATATGGCTATCGTGGCCAAAGAAAGAGGCAGTTTTGCATATGACTAAGTTTAACTAGTTGCATCAATTTTTCTTCATGATTTTCTTCTCTTGGGTGATTTTTGCACCTCTGATAAGCTTTCTGAAGTTTTCCAAGAAAGCTCCTATTTGGGTATTCAGATGCTATTGTCCAACCAGCGTCTTTGTGGCTATAATTTCCCTTTTGTTGAGCAAAATATCTGCATGTTTGACTTACAAAGAATCTACTAGTGTGGTTGGCATGCTATTAGTTCAACATTATGTCAAAATTATAGCACAAAATCAAAGTCAAACACACGGTGTACACCCCTAAAAATTTCTCATTAGTATTAATGTTTTTTTTTTTCGGGTAATGAGCTTAGACGGGTATTTCATGGACGGCAATATTTAAACTCCATTAAATTAAATGAGATTATATGATAATGATTCATCAATAGACAGTAGATTCTTAGTTAAAGAGAACGGGTCATGAGAAACTCCTTAAGGGACTCCCCAATACTGTTTGGCGAAAGAAAATGCCGAGAATGATTTCATATTCCTACTGATACATGTGGCGTCGAAAAAAAGAACAAAGAACTTTCTTATGGTGAAAAACCACAGGAGTAATTGCAGAGAGTGAGTCCATGGAGAATACCATGTCTATGTAGATCAATTATCGTCATAATCATTGATCATGCGCTTATCGCAAAGCCCGCACCATAAAATATGTAGACTGAGACTATGTAGTACTTTTCGGACGAATCATGTAAGGGACAGGTGTTGCTCAGTCTCAAGTGGCCTTGATTATGCATAAAATAAGAGCTACGGAACACTTTCATTACTTAGTTTAATTGCTCCCCTGTGCTGTTACTGATGAACCAGGGAATAAAAGAGAACCAAGAACAGTCCACCCAAAGCAATATCAAGACATTAGAATGCCAGATTCTTCGAAATCCATGACAGTAGAACATAGACTCAAGATCTGGCAAGAGGAATCCTTTTAAAAGAACCAAGAACAGTCCACCCAAAGCAATATCAAGACATTAGAATACCAGATTCTTCGAAATCCATGACAGTAGAACATAGACTCAAGGTCCGGCAAGTGGAATCCCCAGTTAAAAAAAGTGAATCAGATGGACTAAAATCTACGGGGGAGATGATTAGAAATGAGAGCAGTACACCGACCAAAATGTGTTTTCCTCTCCCACATCACAAGAGATGGTTGATCATTAGTCCATCGACTCCTGACCTAACTAAGGAACTATGGCCCCGTGTACGTAGCAAAGAAGAATAATACTGGGTAACAAACATGATATGCAAGACGTGTCATCCTACTCCAAAACAAACTCATACCAAATTGATCATTATCAAGGCCGTCTCTGCAATTTAAATGGCTTGCTATCAGAATCAGTATCTGAGAATGTAGAATAAGCTGCATAAACTTTCTTCTTTGCCCCGCAACACGTCTGCTGCCTCACTTTCTTCAAAGCATACAATCCGACCCTGCAAGGTGTCTCGATGGCACGCAATAAAATGGCGAGCGGACACGTTATGCACAACAAGCAACAGGAACACATGCATTCTGTAGCACTGTAGCAGCATCCGGAAGTCTTTGCCTTTGAAGTTAAATCAGAGCAGGAGGCAGAAGGCTTCCATTTCATTTCTGCTATGAGGAATTGGAATAAAATACATGCTGTTGACCTCAAAACCGGGTACCACTATATCAAGAGAGTATGGACATTGCCTAAGGAATTTTCTTATCAGAGAATGTACTTCAGCTCTTTCTTTTAGAAGGAGAACCCGATTCTTCCTTCTCTGCCACTTTTTATACTTTTTGCTAGAGTACACCTTATCAAACACCGTCCAGATTATTCACTTACTCCCGCTTTTTCTGAACCCCTTTTGACCCTTCTTTATCAACTTAGCACCAGGGAAAGCATTTTCTACACACCCTTTAGATGCTATATTCTTAAACTCAAAGGTAGTGCAATGATTCCCGTAAGATGCTATATATTCCTTCAGTCAGTATGAAAACTACCCTAGCAAATAGCGAACAAGCGAAGGTAGTCCATTACGTCAGCTCAGGTAGTCTTAAATCTTTCAACACAAGCAAATTAAAGGTGAAAAAAATAAATGAAAGAAGCATGAACAGAGCCTTGCCTTCAGCAAGCATCCGACTGCATCGTCAACCAAATCTATGGATAGAGAAAACGCCATAGATGTAATTCGATAGTTAATGAGGTTTTGCTTCATTCTGACTGTTTCACTGTAGCAACAAACCACATCAGAATGGACCCTCCAGTCTCCACCTATTTTCATTTTTACGAAAATCAGAATATACCCTTTTGAAATCTTGTACCAGTTCAACCATATAAAAAGTTCCGAAGGTAAGAATATGGAAAATTTTTTTAAATGAATTGCACTTGAAGCAAATATCTTCATCATTTACATCTGATGCTGGAAATTGGAAAGATTTTTACACAAGTAAATTACATTACTCCAGACAAAACAATAAATCGCCTGCATCAGAAGCGCAGGATAACAGATCTAGAGTGCTATGTATAAATTAACCTTATCTATTCCTAATTGACTGTCATATGACCTGGTAACGAACAGATTACCAGTCTCTCAATCACTGTCTTCACCGTTTTCAAGATCTTCAGGTCTAATGTTAGAGGGAAGTTGATCAAGCAAGCTCTCGTCATTTTTTCCTGCCAAATTTCCGCTTCAAAATTTCCTCAAGAATCGTCGGAATCGCTTCCATGTTGCCATCATCGTAAAATTTTAAGATCCTCCTCTTCAGTTCTGGAAGAAGTGAGAATTCACTTTGAACGGAAGTAAAAAATCTACAACACAAAATAATCACTTGTCCACCAAAAAAAAATATCACCTAAATTTTACAACCATCCAAACAAAATAGAGCACATGCAATTCAAGCCCTTTTCCTATGTCAAAAGGTATCACAAGCTGATGACCTAATGGATGTATCAATTTGGAAGAACAAAGCCAGTCCCAGAAAAAACACTTGGCAATCTCAAAACCAAAGCAACAAAAATGCATTCGAGAATAAGCACTTGGCAATCTAAAAAAGAAATCCAAAAACAAAATGATGATTAACATTCACATCTCATGGCAATTGCAATTGTCTCAAGCTCAAAAGCATTGAAAAAGACCGCATTTCTCAGGCGTTATACTCAAACATTTTCACTTGCATGATTGCCAAAAGAGCAAACCAATCGATTTTCTCCAACCAGCGCTCGCCCACCGAATTCAAGAAAGAGCAAGAGATAAAATAAAAACGGCAAGTTTCTCCATTCCCTAACCTTCTCTGCCAACATCATCATCGGCATGGGAAGCAGCATCGTTCTCCTGATCTTGGGGCTTGCTCTGCTCGTCGTGGGAGTAGAATCTGACCCTCTTGACGACCGGAGCAGAAAAGGGAACGATGGGTCGGTTCCATCGAGAGTAGAGAGCGAAGCTCCTGAGCAAACTCCGACTCATGGCTTCTCCTGTCCAGGGTATCAAGGCCAGATCAAGAATCAATAATCAAGAATCAAGATTTAGGGTTTAAGGCTAGGGTTTATATAACGGGGAGAATTACCATTATAGTTCGCAGATGATGGGCTTTTTGGGCCAATTTTGGATTCTTGGGCTTTTTGCTCAAATTATTTGGCAAGGTGATCTCAGCCCAGTTTCTGGTTCTGGGCCTTCCATTTGGGCCGGAACTGTCACTGAGCCTCTCTTGACTCTTTTCTTCTTATGTTGGTGGTTTCGATTCATTTGCGATGAAAAGCGACGCGGCATACTTTAACAAAGCATGTAAAGAGAGACCGCATATATATATAAATAGCATTTAAACTTCGTATGAAAGCGATGTGCGATACTTTGAAAAAAGGGATAGGTGCACTGGAAATCGTAAAAAACTTGTAGCGAAATTGCAATTAAGTCCTAAAACCCTTAAAATGTGCAATCAAGTCCTAAAACTTAAAAAAAACAAATGCAATCAAGTCTTAAAACTTGTCACAACAGTACTGTCGAGTCCTAAAATTTTCAAACATTGTAATCGATGGAAGGACTTGATTGGACCAATTTGGCAAAATTTAGGACTTGATTGCACTTTTTGAAAGTTTTAAGACTTAATCGCATTTTTGTGACAAATTTTAAGACTTAATTATACTTTCGTGATAAGTTTTAAGAGCCAATGCACTTATCCCTTGAAAAAATTAAATGACCAAAAAGGGCATTTGATTAGTCTTTTTGTTTCCTCTTTTCTTTTCTTTTCTTTTTTTAGACTAAAGAGGAGACTTTCGAGTTTTCCGGTCGCGGACTTCACCTCCTAATTAGTCCCGTTACGGTATTGATCTCCTTCAACAATCTCGCCCTAGCATCAAACACTTTTTTTTTTTAGCTAAAGGGCGTAACATAGTGTATTAAGTGACCTAATTACAACGACACGATATCAATTTTACATAAATTGGACACTCCTCTGTCATTAAAATATACATAGAACCTATATAAATATAACTCGATGCTCACCACCAATATGATAAGAATTTCACCCGTGGCCCGTCGAAAAAGAGATGCCTAACTTGATTAGTGGAGATAAACAAACACGTCATTGTACAACGACGAAGTGTCGTGACGTATCAACCACGAAGTGTCATGAGGCATCAGGAAACACCAAGATTGGCCGTCTTTTGCTTAAAAGATTAGTGGGTGGTACACGCAATTCGTATATCTAGTAAGCACACTTGCCCATCGCATGTCAGCAAATTAGACAAATTTAGTAATGCCAGGTCAAACTTGCTAATGGAAACCACAGGTGATTAAGGTTATTGGGTGTCCTAGGGTTTAAGGACCAGATTGCATCAGTGTCCATCAATAATTGAAGTGCATATTCTTGCTTGTTGGTTGAGCTCACCTACTAAACTTCTCTATTAGCTAAGCTGAGACTTCTTGATCAAATTGAGCCGCACTTGAGTTCATTAAAGAAATGGGGTTGCTCTTCTTCTTCCCTTTTCTTTTTCTTTTGTCCAAATTAACATGTATATACATATATCTAAAGAATGAAAATTAGCAAGATCTAGGGTGCCAAGAAGGTTTTCATTGAAGGGATATGGACCATGGACGAAAGGAAAAGCAAAGGAATGAGAAAGGGTGGGGTAAATCTTGATGAGCATGCATCATAAGCTGTTGTCAAGCGAGTTAAAGCTCAATCATGTGGAAAGGCGCGACATTTCATGATGCTGTCCATAGGGACAAAACCAAGCTTGTTTTTGGGGCTAAGCAGGCCGTGACCTAAAACACGATCATGGATTGCTAAGTATGCCCTCTGTACATTTTTTTTAAATGGATGGATGATTAGCCACGCAGACAACAGGGAGCCGTGGAGGACCGGCGGGAGCACGTCGCCGCCCTTTCTGACCTCTTGATGCTCAGCGCAATTTTCATTTTTGACAAATATACGTTATAATCTGTGAAATTTCATGTAAATTTATATATATCTCGCCTTATAAACTTCTTTTTATCCCTTTCTTGCGACCTAAGTTTCTGCACACCCGACGTCATACACGAAAGTGACTTAAGGGTGTCTATCTACAAGTTTCATTCATCGCAACGAATCAACGAAAAAAGAAAAAAACCAATAAGCTGTGTCCTTATCTTCTATCATCCATCAAACTTTACAATATGTAGTTTGAACAATCTAGGTTGAACAACATGCTTATGGACAATCTGGAGAAAGAAAGAAGTGCTTTAGTGCATGTTCCGCGGAAATCATTGATTTGAAAAATCTCTTTAAAATAACAATTTTATTGCTTAGAAAAATCAGTCGACCGAAAATATTTCTATCAATCAAACATCAATTTTTTTTTATTGATGATAAAAATATTTTACATTTATTCACTTTTTAAAAGCGATATAGGCGATCTTTTAAGAAAATATTTCATAAAATCATTACTTTTCCATACACCGTATTTATAAGATATACTGACATCAACAACCAACAAATTTAACCCACCCATGGGTAGCTCAGTTGGTTAGGGCGTACTTGGGATTGTGTGGTTAGGCGCACTGGTCCCAGGTTCGATTCCCCAGCTGAGCACTTGTGATTTAAGTGGGGGGCCATGGCAGTGAGTTACTGTGCTAATCTCCCTCGAGGAATAGTCGAGGTGCGCGCAAACTGACCCGAACACCTCGGTTATAAAAAAAAAAAAAAAAACAACCAACAAATTTATTCACTGTGTTTTTGCTTCAAGCTACCCTAGACTCTGTGACTGTATTTTGCCTTGTTAGGTATAGGGGCAAAAGCTTTTCAACTTTCTAGAATAACCAATTGAACTTTTTTTTTTTTGGCTATACTATAAGATGAAGCAAAAGGTCCACCACTGATAAATTGGCTCTATATTCTATTCCTAGAGAGAGAGTGAGTGGATCATATGGGAAGAGTAGAAGCAAAGAAAGAAGAGTCAAAAAGCATTTTATTTACCCTTTCTTTCTTTGCTAATCTAGCTTTGTAAAAAGAGGAAAAGCACCCAATAGGCTTCGCTCCTTTTCTTGGTTAAATTTACACGCTTACCAATAATCACCCTCTGCCAAATTGCCTTGCTTTCCACCAGATGACTCAGATCTTTGCCGGGTACTTTTAATGGCAGGAATAATTGAAAAAAAAAAAACATAGAGATTGTGCACTATTTTAAGAATTATTACCACGAAAATCTCTATACTGATACGCATATGATAAATTTACTCAAAATTTATTTTTTGACCACCAAAAATCCTAAACTGGTATACCTGTGACAAATTTACCCCCCGTTAATTTCTGTTAAACTTTATTGTCAAATTGCTAAGTTAAATGACTCAAGGCAGTTGATGAATGCATCAGTTTGGGGTTTTACCCTCCGTTTATCACAAAAGTACTAGTTTGTGATTTTTTTTGTGTATTAATTCAATTTAATTGAGGGTAAATTTGTCACAAATATATCATTTTGGGATTTTTGGTAGTCAAGAAATTAGTTTGGGGTAAATTTATTATAGGTATATCAATTTGGGGTTTTTTGTAATCAAAAAATTAGTTTGGGGTAAATTTGTCACATGTATACTAATTTGGAATTTTTCGTGGTATTAACCCTTATTTTAGTGATTCATAATGAGTGATATTATAATAACAACCATGATTTTCAAATGCTAACATCTTTTCTGTGCTTTGGAAAATGAATAGGAACCTGACTTTAAGCTTCAAAAGTCAGTTAACGGGCAATTAAAAAGATAATTACACCAACCAAATGGCCATTCATTTCTTGCATAAAATTTAGGATTAAAACGCAACAATATTTGAAAACGACGACGAGGCAAATAACTATAGCCGTCGTGATTAGCTATTAGATTTGTCGAGGGAAATTTTGTAATCGACATGATACGAAGAATTAGATAATATCTGACTTCGACACGGTCCGAGAACATATCGAACCGACTAATTTAAATCTTATCAATTACGTATTTGATCACGTATTATAGTAATCCATTGGCCAGAAAATTAGTCTCTTCGACAGGGCTAAGTAGTGAAGGTGGAACATTTTTTTCTAGTGGGGGCTTGACTCGAGACTCAACCGGCTCCATTAGATGCTGTTTATACTGGGAGCTTGCGACCATACTTGACACTACTAAATGATTTTCAAGATTAACAATTGATATTCGTTTTCCTTTTATATCTGTAGAGGCGTTCCTCCTCCTAATTTGATGCACTGTTACTTTATTGCTAGTCAACGAGAACTTATCACTCTTCATCATGGGGGGGAGATAGGGTTAAATATATCACTATCTCTACGGTATTCCGGCATCGTCGGCCTTTGTTTATGGGTAATTCCGATCCCGTATCACTTTCCGTTCATATGAAAATTTTAAGGTTGTAAATGAAAAGAATAAACCCTGGCGGACTAAAAGAATCGTTTGGTTAGAGCGAAAAAAAGTGTAGGAATTGCCGGTTGTCTCTGAGATGGTCCGACCATGGCCGCTCGAGCTCAAGGTATCCAGGGGTGCTTGAGCTTGAGCTTGCAGCGTCCATGGCCATGGCCACCATATCCGAGCAGGTCGGCAGCAAGCGGCATGGTCGACATCAGATGGCCGGTGGTGGGGGAGGGCAGGAATCGATGGTCAGGAGGATTTCCACGTGGGTGATTCGGAGTTAGTGTTTTGTTTATTTTCCAGATTTCCTGTGTTGATGATTTTGCCACCTAAGTAGTGCCATATCAAAATTTCGAGCATACCATAACACGACATGAGTACTCCGACGGTCTACTTCAGTAATTCGACAGTCAATTTAGAAGCAAAAACTGACCAACAATACAGTATGACGAAAGAATTAACAGGTTGAGCATTTGAAAAAGAAGAGACACTTTGGAACTGACAAATAAAACAAAGAAAAAGTAGACGGACGACTTCGAATTTTTAGCGAAAGTACATGAATCATAGGTGACACTAACTCAATTTTAAAAAAAAATTAGATATATATATATATATATATTAATGTTGGAAGATAGCAATTTAGTTTTCTGTTCTCTTTTCTTTCGAGGAAGTACTGAGTCGATAGGTCACATTCATGTTACCAAACAACACCCATCTCGGGCAAATCAAGAAAGGGTCATCTTAGAAAAAGCAAAAAAAATAAAAGAAGATAAATAAGCAAAGGTCCCTTTCTCGATCCCTCGCCACAGCAATTTCACATGACACCATCTGCACACCTTTAGAACTTGCTGATCTTGGCAAGAAGAGAGATTATCAAAATCAAGCTTTCCAAGTTTTCACGAGCTAGCTCAAACCCTAGAAAGAACCGCACGGTCGCGCGAATTTTTTGCGCCTCTCATCACGCCGCTTCTCTCGAATCATCGCGTTTCGAGGCGGACTTCGTACTCCGAAACCCTAGATTCGGATCATCTTCCGGCGAACGGACTTGAGACATAACAATGTTCCACGAGTCTAAAAATCAGTAAACGCGTTTGGATTCGACTTGTTGGGGGTCCATATACTTACGCTGGCTTGGTTTTATTTTCCAAATTTCGTCAATTACCGCGACACTACGCTGAATTATGGAGTCTCGATACCGTAGAGAGATTCAAAGGGGGGACTTGCGTGGACACCAGTTGACTATTGAGAGTCGACAAAAGAGAAAGTTAGGTAACGAAACAAAAATTCAATGACAATTACCAGTTACGGCTTGTGATGATAATGAAGGCGTGGGCTTTCTTCACGTGCCGGGGAAGGTTTTTCCGTGGCGAGGGTGAGAGGATTAACCCAGCTTTCGCTCCGCATTAAATTGGTCATGTCCTCGAAATTTCAAAGCCGGCCACCTTCTGATCAGATCGGACGCATGTGCATCTGGGGGATTTTGATTGACCTGGCTTCACACTGTTCACATCACTCTCTCTCTCTCTCTCTCTCTCTCTCTGACCGAAATTGATGGAGAAAATACCGTCACATGGTTTTGCTAGAGCAAAGCATGATAACGAGGGGAAAGAAAAAGGGGAGAGAACAGAAAAAACTTACGGTACAATTTGAGCGGCGATGATATGGACCATCCCTCGCGTCGGTCGCGATACGTCACTTTCTAGCTCATGGTATTATTCCACGACCTGCCGAGGGTATATGATTGAATTTCATTGTTCTGTTGCCCTTCTATGCATTTCGATTTTACGGGATTCTTGGGTATCCTTTAACTTTAATTCTTTCGATTTTGCTTTTCTCAAACATGATTAGGCTCGATCAGGGGTTTTGCATTAGCCTCGAAAACATAGACGGGCAAGCCTGAAAAAGATACTTTATGTATGGAGAAGTCTAGCCGGATGACCAGTAATTGACATTTTGAGAATTTGCCCATTTGATCGGGTTCTAGCAGCAATCACGAATCATGACTGAACCCTATGTGGGTTTTCGAAGGCACTCATAGCTCTTTGCCCTCTGCAAACTGCAATGTCGTGCTTCTTTTGCACCTCTGGAATTCCCGTGTCACCAATCTGAAAACTTCCAGAGCTGCTGTTTTGCTTCATCTTCAAAACTGTCCTTCCTCTTCAAGCAATCTTCCATCCCAATGCATTCACGTGCCAATTTAACTTGATCTATCAGCAAGGCCTATGGAATTAAAGAAAGATGAGAAGAGAGGAGTTTTTGGGGGCATTGCAAAGAGCACGTATTGAAATTAGAGAGAGAGAGAGAGAGAGAGAGAGAGGCTTTGAATATGGAACTGTGAGAGTCACGGATGGGTCCCCACTGAATTGGATGCTTTTGCCTGAAGACACATTAGCAGCTCACATGATTACAACTGTTTTGGGGGCCTTATGAAATGCCAAATTATGATAGTTGGAGTCCCAATCCCAATGCTAAGCAAACGGAGAGAAAAACGGAACAAGACAGTACTTCCACAACGCAAAAAAACGCAAGCTGGTTACACATTTCTTGACCTTGTAATCTCCTAACATTGGGTGATGATGATGAATTGGGCCCCGGTCAAATGCTGTCCAACACTGCTGCACAGACCTGACTTTTCTTGTACACTGTGTCTTTTACTCCTCTGCAACTTTTCTCCTCCCACCTCAAACAAGACAACCAGCTTGAGAGGAAAACAAAGGCAAATGCTTATGTAATAAAGAAAAGCAGTCCTTAGCCTCCTCCCTTGATAAGTAGCAGCATCTGTTAAACTTAGAAAAAAAGCAAAAGCTCACTTGCAGAGGTTCCAGCAGAGTCCCACAGCCTTTCTTGTTTCCTGGCAAAATAATTCCCCACGCTTCCTACAACAAGACAAACCATAGCCCACTCAACAACCCGACATCACCAAAATTAAATCTTTATGGCCAGTTAAAGAAAAGAAATATTAAATCTTTGTCACAGAAATTGCAAAAGCTTGGAGAGAAAAAGAAAAGGAAAGGAAAGGAAAATTCAAAACCAAGATCAAGAATTCAAAGACTCCCCTCTCTCTCTCCATCTCCACTAAAAGAATCCATCTCTCTGCAACCCTCATTCTTCTCTTCTAAGCTTAATCACCCCAAATATTCCATCCATCTCTCTCTCTCTCTCTCTCTCTCTCTCTCTCTCTCGCACACACACACACACAAACCATGCCTGTCTTGGGAGAGAGCTCTGAGCACACCAAACCCAGAAGACCAAGAACCCAACTCAGCAATCCCATTCAAGAAACCACAGATCGGAGCCCATCACTCTTCGTCCCTCCAAACCGCCCCAAACCCACCATATCTTCATTCCTCCACTCGGTATCCCCCAATGAGAACATGCCCCCGACCATGAACCCCGCCAAGAAGAAGCATTTCGCATCGTCAAGATTCAGGGGACTCGGGTGCACGGCCTCTGCATCGCAGCAGGTCTCCGTGCCCGCAGTGATTAGGGCATCCGCAGATTGGGAGAAGAGGAAGGTGAAGAAGAAGAAACAGAAGAGGGGCGGCGGCGGTAGCGGCGGCGGTGGCGGCGGAAGCAGCGGCGGCGGCAATCAAACAGTTGTGGTTGACGGCGGTGGGTCAGGCTTTGGGGGTTGCAATTCTGGGTCCTCTTGTGTGGTGGCTGAGGATGCTTGGTGTGGTCCTGGAATTGGCTTCTCAGCTGCTGATGCGGATTGTGTCGTGGTCGGTAGGAGGAACTTGTCTGCAAGGGGGACGATTGACGGCGATAAGTTTGGTCCAAGAGAGGTAAGAAAAATTGCATCGTTCTCTTCATTTTTACCATCAATCTCTTAATTTTCCTTAAGGGTGGGCTTTCTAATACGAATATAATGCTACAGATGGATGCTTTTACTCATTTCTGAACGGAAAAGAGAGCGAAAGATTGATGCTTTGCATTTTTCTTTGATGAACAACATTTGCTTCTCTCTGTATCAGCGAGTAATAAATAATCTTTTGGCATTCTCTAGATAGGGAAGAAGAGGAAAAGTAATCTCGAATTTAGAGCTCATTGAATTTTCCTCTATTTTTGTGGGGTTTGATGACTCTTTTTGAAATATTAAATTTGGGCTATTTTCTCGTGGTTAGATAGCATTTTGCACACGGATTCATGTATTTGATTTTGTGGGGGTTAATGTAGCTGGGTAATCTTATTATTATACGATGTGATCTTTGTTTTTGTCTTTTGTGTTCAAAAGGTCATTCCTTTAAAGTCTTTCCCTAAGTGAATGCCCAGGCACCACTCACATTCCATATAAAAAAGGCCGCTCACTGATTTGGACTGATCACACACCCTGCTTTGTTTTTGGTTGAGCTCGTATTTGACCGATGATTTGGAAAGATTGGCGTTGATCTTATCTGTTTCGAGGTAAAACTTGCTGATGTTTTAAAATTTTTCTTTCTTGTTTTTTCAAGTAGGATCACAAGAGTCAGAGTTCATATTTGTGTGGAGATAATCACGGTTCTGTTTGCTGTCTTATCTATTATTCTATTTCACCATGGTTTGATCGATCGGAGGAGGAAGAGTGTCTCTCTCTCTCTCTCTCTCTCTCTGGGTCTGTGCGTGCGTGCTGTGTGAAAGTTTTTACGTAGTTTTCTGGATGATCCTACTTTGTTTCATGGGATTGCATCGAACGTCTTGTGGGAGGTGATCTTCATCATCCGCTCACGTTCTCTTGATAGTTTGCTGTTCTGCAAGGAGACGGAAAGTTTTGGTGTTTTTGCACCCTTTACGTGTCCAGTCATAGATGGTTTCTAAGATGTGCTTATTGATCTTGTTTACAGCGACACTGTGTCTCAAGGCGGACTGTGAATCCGGAAGAGTTCGTTCTGGAGTCCGACCCCGCCTTCGGAACCACTCACCCAGGGCCGGAAACATACGTGCCTGGACCTCGCCGCTACCGCCATATTCGACATCCTTCACCTGAAGGCCTTGCTGAGGTTTGTTTCGGATGCGCTCACTCTTGATCATGCTATGTCTCTTCCAAGTAATTTCTGAGTGAGGAGATGAACTGAGGGTTCTTCTCTTGGTTCAATTGTCCCATGAAACGACACCCCTCTCGTGTATCGCCCCCATAGAAAAGAAAAAAAGAACTTCTGTGGGAGGATGGGTGTGTCTATCTTAGGATTCACCTGCATCGAGATGTAAGAGATTAAAGAATGTCTCTAGTTGGTTTCATGTCGTAAATTACATTGACTTTTGTGCCTAGAGTAATCTTGTATCAAAGTTTCTTTTATACGCAAAAGCTTTATGCTTTGCATCCACAAAGCGAAGAAAAGCTTCATCTTTCTAACTTCTGACACTGTAAGTGGTTAGTTTTCTTCATATATTGTTTTCCCCTCTTCAGAGGCTTGGATGATTTGGTTGGATGTAACTGACAGTTATGCATCAGGGGTGGGGAAATAGAATAGATCATTGAGAAAAAGTTCCCATCTTTCTAGCTTTTTTGTGTAATGTTGTTAAGTCTGTAACCTATGTGAAGTCTGCTTAAGGACAGAGGCTAACTTCACTTATATGTTTTGTTTTATCTGATTCATTTGGGTGGACTTAATGGCACTTACCACATCAAGCTCCTCACACTCCACATTGCTCGTTGGTTAAGTTGCTTCATATCTTGAAAATTTGAGTTAAATGTTGGTGACATAAATTGAAACAACACAATGCATATCACACGATTGTTCTCAACTACTTAGTAGACTGGCTTAAATGGACAGGACAACTGACTTTTTCCTCTGTGATGAGAGAGAAGAATGAGTGGAGATACAGATGACCCGTTAGCTAGCAGATATATCAATAGTGTTATTTCCGAATTTATATTCATTCGGAGAACCTAGAATTGGCTGTTACGAGTAATTTCTGAGACATACTTGTACTGTGCAATTAATGTGGATAGATGTTATTAGTTTCCAATTCATCCCTCAGAAAATGTTTTTTGAAGAAATCTGTTTGTCTATGTTTGTTCTGTCCTATTTATTTTTTACTCATCCTACTTAACCTGGGAGTGAACATTCTTAGAAGGGAGCTGTTATAGCGTCACATGCACGCTGTGTCTTGCCTAAGAAAATACGGATTCTGAAATTGCTGCTCAACTGGATGGCTCACAAGGACCTTTAGTGATAAAATATGTGTGATTTCAATATGTGTGGGTAGGAATTTTGTGATAATTCAAGGCTGGAATTGGAGATGGATCACATGAAACCTTGTTGCTGGTTTTGGCTGATCAGTGATCATTTGAAGCATTTGAGGTTACCTGGGTCTGTTAATGAAAATTTTAAGCTGGAATTCTTAGGATTAACAATCTACATTGTAACGCTGCTGATTATTTTACAGGCAAAGCTGTGCCAGGACTTCAGAGTTCTATGAGCTGTTCAAAGCTAGTACCCGATAAAGATTTTGCATTTTACTGAGTTGCTGTCGAGTTGGTTGATTAATGTAGATTTGGTCATCTGAATCTTTGCAGATTATGATGATTCACACAAGTCTTCTAATGGGAGGAAGGTTAGACGTGCTTGATCGTTACCGAGGCTGGAGACTCGACATCGATAATATGACTTATGAGGTAAATATATCTGCAGGACAAGCTCCGTCTGACAATCATGTTGATCTCAACTGATTGTTCAATGCATTACTTATCAACACCTTCTTTCTGGGTGTTACTCTCAGCAATTGCTTGAGCTTGGCGATAGGATTGGCTATGTGAGTACTGGCCTCAAAGGAGATCAGATAACTCACTGCATCAGAAAGATTAAGCTCACAAATCTGAATGATTTGGCACGTCATTTTGCTGCAAAAGCAGATAGGAAGTGCAGCATCTGCCAAGTAAGATGAGAAAACCTTTTAATCTCTTTCACAATATAAAGACAATAGATCTACTTGCATTCTTGGGTCAATTAACCCTGATTCTCTCTTTTATTCACTTTGCTGTTAATGATTTCTGGATGCAGGAAGAGTTTGAAGAAGGTGATGAGCTCGGGAAGTTGAATTGTGGGCATGGGTATCATATGGAATGCATAAAGCAGTGGCTTGGGCAAAAAAACACATGCCCGGTTTGCAAGTCTGAAGCGGTGGCTCGGTCCTAGAATCCTCTTGCATCTTAAGCCTTGGCAACTGCTTCCTCAGCCCCCAAGTGTATAGGTTTTGTTTCCTATATTAGGAGAATCCATTCTTTTCGATCGAGATGCAGTTCACTTCACCCATGCTCATTGTTTGAAGTTTGATTTTTTGTTGTCTTTTGGCAATTTTTTTTTTGTTTTCAATTCTAAAAATATGATTCAGAATTGGCTGAGTTGTTTCAATCTGATGATAATTTAATCCATTTTATACTCTCTCATGACACAACCCTTTCATTTGTATAGAGGCTCATCAATACATGCTTCAGATGTACTGCTAAAATGATTTGCTTGGTGACTCTTGTCTAGTGTCTTTTGGGAAGGGGGAAAGAAAGGGGCCCGTAGAAGAAAATTACGATTACTGCAGGGCCGGCAATGATATGGAAGTTTTGAGCGGTAACAAGAGTGTGAATTTGCGGTGACTAGCACCAAAACTGATCGACCAAAGTTAGACAGAACAAACGATGATTCCATGTCCTTAGTTCTTGCTGCTCACCCCACTGCATTACTCTCACTTTCGGTAATTGCAGGGTTTTCTTGTATTGAGTGGGATCGGACAGACCCATTTGGAGAGGATATGTGTTTGTCTGTTGTGCCAACAGGCTCCTGTCTGTGTATTTCAAGATCTGAGATGTGTTGTGCAAGTAACTGTAATCCAATAATTTCGAGTAACCAAGTTTCGCAACCATCAGCCTTGTGCTTCTCTCTTTTGGAAGAAGTGGGTATCGATTATCCTGGATCTTGCTCCTAAGTTTCACATCGGTTCTACTTTAAAATTGTTCAATCCAATCCTGTGCGTCAGCTGATCGATGAGAAGTTTGGAAGAGTTATCTGAGCTGTGTTTTTGGGATCTTAAACGACTAACTCAACCCTAGACGGGGTTTGGTATGGTCATTAGCAAGAGCTGTCAAAATGGGTCACAAATTCAAATTTTAATTAATATTTATTTAAACAGATTATAAATGGGTCACCTCAAATTTAAAGTACGGGTGATAATGAATTTTAAAGTTAAAAGCTTGCAACGGATGGGTTTTAGTAGGTCTGTTATAAACCCACTTTCAATTCATTTGCTAAATATGTCAGGCTCAGCCTACTTTGGTCCTTCTTCGCCGGTCTTTTCTTTCTCCCTCTTCGATTCCGTGACTCTTTGACCTTCTCCCTTCGTTCGATCTGATTTCCCTATCGTTAGGTTTTCTTCAACCTCTGTCTCGCAACTTCACACTAAATTCACACTACCGTGACAAATTGCACTTTTGAGGAAACCCAAACCTTCACCACCACCTTCACGCCCCCATGCATAACCCGACCCCCTAGATCCCTCACTAACTTGACAAGTCGGTCCATGGAGCGGCCCATTTTTCAAAGACAACAATCAAAGGAGAAAAGTTGCTAAAAATGAATTTCAGGTCGATTGTAGATCGGATTGAGAAGAGGTCACTATATTTGCATCGGACATAAATGGGTCAAAACGGGTTAAAAGAATCAATTTGAATCGAACCATTTTCGAATCGATCCACCGGTTTGACAAGTTTACTTCTATGTCCTTACACAGATACAAAGATGTTTCTTCCATACATTGTTACGAGCTTTTGACAACTTTTAGTAGTACAAGAAAATTTTACAAATCAACACTGTACAGTCACTGATGCGATATATATGACCCAAATCAAGTGCACCTCCCTTTTGGATTCTGCATTGGATTTTGGGATTTGAGGACAAAAGAATCAAATCGGAGGAAAAAGTCAAATCTTGTCGTGACGATCAAGGAACTGGATTATACATGGATAGACTTGAGAAGGTGCCTACATGAAGAAATAAGTTTGAGTCGTCATTCAATCAAAGTCAAATTGACTTTATAATTGATGGACGAGTAGAAGAATATTGAGTGCCATCAATCATAAGTCACAATAGAAGAATTGAACAAAATACAGGTGTGGAAGCACAGAATATCAGTTGGTGTTTAAAAAAACAGAGATGGTGAGCCTTCCATACCATTCCGCCACCCACCAAATCATAGTGAGCATAATGTGGACCGCCGGGTTCACCAAACACTTTGTAAGTCAGCAGATGCTCCGGTATAAGCTTTGCCGTTTCTGCACCGCATAGAATCACCGTCACCAGAGAGTAAAGATTATGATACAGAGTTGATGTACGGACTAGTTGAGGAAGGAATACACCAGTAGCGTACCATATACTGCGTCGGGTGGACATATAAGATCTAGATCTCCAGCAAGGGCTAAGATTGGGACATTGCATTTATCTATATGATCTTTGTAAAAGAAAGTCCCACTCCGGTCACATAATCCACCGTCTTGAAATGCTGTTGTCAGCTGTAAGAGAAGCCTAGCAGGAACTGTGCCTGCATAAGGTGGTGAGATTTAATCACCGACGCAGATCTTATTGCCAATGACATCTCACTGAAGGCAATGAAATACTTAGAAATTAAATGATTTGTTCACAATATCTCCTACATAAATGTCAAATACCCAAATAGCTCGTGGAATATCTGTTTAGCATAATATACAGAGGCAGTTTTGATGAAGAGAATCATCCGCTGAGTACAATAAATCATATGGGTGAGCTATTACTGTAGGAGACTGTATTCAATATGATAGAGTTTCATACCTCCTGCAGTACCAAACCAAACTATTCACAACTATCAAACTAATTGTGGACAGAAGACTACTACATCCAATGTTGTGGATTAAGGAACAGTGAAGCACCGTTAAAAGCCTCATCACCCCTTCATCTATATGTAAGAGCAGGAGGTTAAATCCTAGCTTACTAAGATGAATATATGAATAGAGCTTGAGTTTCAGGCTACGATCGCTCAATAAGTTAAATTCCATGAAATACCTCATACTGTAATACATGAGATGTCCTTATTGAATATGCATGTAAAAGACAATATTTCTTGGAGGAAATGCCTTGTCTCCGGATATTTATTCTTAAGTAGAATATTTGGCATGCAACAAATTCAGCCTAGTGGAACTACCTGTGTCAACCTCAAAAACGTCAAACTTTGTTACTTAGTTCTCCATTTTCTTCAGTCCATTTCTTGCAGCTTAATTTCACCAGACAAAATAAAATACCTACTTGCAAAATGAAAATCGGTTACTTACACGGGTAAAGAAGGAAAAACATAGTTCCACTCACCAAAATTGTTCATAACAAGCTTCTCCATCAAATCTGGGTGCATCATGTCCTGAGCAGATATTTGCAGATGCAACCATGAGAAAGGAGGACGTGATGCAAATGGATGAGCTGCAGCAATCAATCCTCCAAGAGGAACGACAGGGACATTCAGAGCCTGCGCAGGTTCTACCTGTGTGCACATCAAACAAATATTATTCAGGATGAGACCGCCATAAATACAGTGATTAGATAAAACAGAACAATTTTGAAAAGCAAAAAAAAAAAAAAATAGTATCACTTGCCAGAGGTAAGAGCCATTTCAATGATGATCTCGAGGGTGTGAAGTCAAGTGATGACCCCAGAGTCGCAACTGACACCAACCCAGGATCTTTCCCCTTAAAACCTAAAGGGAAGGCACATTTAATGGGTAAGAGGATACTGGTGACAAATGTATAAGTTAAGGATATAGCTACCACGTAAACTGCAATTCTTCTCATTATCTAACAGATCGAGCAGCTTGATCTGTATCTATCATATGTCATTGTGTCGATACGTGTAAAGTTGAAATGATAAAGTTCAAGAAACTGGATTACCGTATCTTGAGAGCATTGCATACAGCAAGATACCTCCCATGGAGTGACCAATTGCAAGCAATTTGCTATCTTTTGATTTGGAGTATGTCCTTATGTAATCCATCTACCACAATAACAACAAATTGGATTTTATCTATCACCGCGAATTGGATTAACATAGAAGCTTAATTCTAGCCTAGCTCCTGCAAAGAACGCTCACATCAAAAGCCAAGTAGTTAAATATGATTTCCAAATTGAAGAAATGTCACCTCACCGCAGTGGGCACATCCTCTTCTAGATAGTGGTCGAAGTCCCAATCGTAATTCTCAATAACATCCAGTTGCTTTTGGAAATCTTCCAATGTGCTGGAAAGGTGCTCTTGCAGGCCAACCAATGGTGGTGGGACCACGTTTTGACCTTTTCCGATGATATGCACTAGTTTTTGACTCAATTCCCTCAGTTGGCTAATAATGTTAGAGCTTTGCCCTGCTAACAACACTGAAATTCAGGGAATAAAGACATTAAGGATAAAGCATTACTACTAATCCTCAGAGTAGTTCCTAAGTAACCTCCAGTCATAAAACCTGATAAATTCTGAATTAACTTCAAAAAAGTTCCGTTCATTCTGGATGGAGAGGCTTTGGCAGCAAATAAATCAGTGGCACTGGTTGATGGCAATCCTGATGCTGATAGAACAGGGGTTCTATACTTGTTACCTGATTCTGTCCAATCAGACACCCTGTTAAGGGATCGCTTAGCCTCTTCATAGTCCATTTGTCTTGCACTCAGCCCAGCACCTCGAACTTCTAGTATCCATGTATCGAATCCTTGGCTACTCATATGTCGTGCGAAAGAGGCCTGGAAAAATCAGAATCAGCGATGTCCTTTAAAGGAGAACAATGACATGCTGCAATTGAGTTTTGCACGTGACAATTTGCACAATCAGCGCAACACATATAGACTTTTCCACATTTTATTTCCAGCAAAATATGGCAGAAATTTTATCAGGAACAAACTCGCTCGTCAAATTGATCAAGCATCACATTTCCAACTAGACCTCTTTAAAGATAAAAGGCGTGACAAACTAGGCATTGTAATATGTGAATGGCCGGCCCCAATATCAGCAAAGTCAATTCTGCTTTGGCGGGAAATAATTTTCGTTAGTGGGGAAGGCAATAAGAACTTTTGTTCAACTCCCTCGAACATGCTGTCGGCCGCGGAAGCAAGGAAACTTCACCCGGTGATAATCACGTTCTACTTCGAGCTTCTAGTGACTGTTTATGCAATGCTCACCCACTCTAGATATGGGACAACACACCACGAGCAATTTATAATCAACGGTATCCAAAACAGCCAGGTAGTTTTAGTTTAACCCGGTCCTTTTGCGAAACAAAATCACCCGACCATCCGAGCCGCTGTAAAATCAGCGAAAAAAATGAATGAGCCCAGAAACACCAACCGCTCGGCAGAGCAACGAAGCACGACACACGAAATTCATTTCGTCACGTCCAATCCAAGCCCTCAAGAGCAATTTCCATTAGTGTCCATACATCATGTGGTTGCTTCCGTTTTCTTAAACACAAAATTAATAATAGGACCTTCCATAGATGAACTCCATAATTAAGAGCCCAAGATAACGTGACATCCAAAAAGGGATTCGGCAAACCGGACGAGAGCCGAGAAGAATTCTAACCAAACAGAGCATGAAACCACCCTGCACATCTCAATTTTGACCGAGGGGAACATACAAGACAAGGCAAAAACCAGCTTCCTAAGCTAGACAGATCACAGAAGCTCAAGTTGAAATCAGGATACGTGACGAGATGCTATCGGAACAAAGAAATACCAACCGCTCGGCAGAGCAACGAAGCACGACCTCCTTTCACACGAAATTCATTTCGTCACGTCCAATCCAAGCCCTCAAGAGCAATTTCCATTAGTGTCCATACATCATGTGGTTGCTTCCTTTTTCTTAAACACAAAATTAATAATAGGACCTTCCATAGATGAACTCCATAATTAAGAGCCCAAGATAACGTGACATCCAAAAAGGGATTCGGCAAACCGGACGAGAGCCGAGAAGAATTCTAACCAAACAGAGCATGAAACCACCCTGCACATCTCAATTTTGACCGAGGGGAACATACAAGACAAGGCAAAAACCAGCTTCCTAAGCTAGACAGATCACAGAAGCTCAAGTTGAAATCAGGATACGTGACGAGATGCTATCGGAACAAAGAAATACCAACCGCTCGGCAGAGCAACGAAGCACGACCTCCTTTCACACGAAATTCATTTCGTCACGTCCAATCCAAGCCCTCAAGAGCAATTTCCATTAGTGTCCATACATCATGTGGTTGCTTCCTTTTTCTTAAACACAAAATTAATAATAGGACCTTCCATAGATGAACTCCATAATTAAGAGCCCAAGATAACGTGACATCCAAAAAGGGATTCGGCAAACCGGACGAGAGCCGAGAAGAATTCTAACCAAACAGAGCATGAAACCACCCTGCACATCTCAATTTTGACCGAGGGGAACATACAAGACAAGGCAAAAACCAGCTTCCTAAGCTAGACAGATCACAGAAGCTCAAGTTGAAATCAGGATACGTGACGAGATGCTATCGGAACAAAGAAATACGGATGTAACGTTAACCTCGGGAGAGAGATCGTATCCGATTGCATTGGTTCCAACTCCGGATAGCAGCAGAAGCGGGTGATTCCTCCGAGGCGCCTGCGAAACAGAACAAGGAAGCAATCATCACCCGATAAAGCAAAGATATAATCACCGACGTTCTTCGCAATCGCGCATGCAACACAGCACGACGACGACGACGACGGCGACGACGACAGCGGGATCCTACATTCGGCGACGGGAAGTAGCGCCAGAGCGCGAGCTTCCACTCGGAGCCGGACACCGGAACGCGATGGAGCTCGTCGGCCGTGCAGACCGCCGGCTTCTCGCCTCCGGCGACCAATGCCGCCCTCAGCCGCGGGGCGGCCGGGGATCCGGGCCGCCGGTTCGCAGGCGGGGGACCGAACCGGACGGCCGGCGGATGATCGGCGACGCCATTTCTTCCGGAAGGACCGGCGAAGCGGGTCACCGGGTGGAGGAGATCCGAACGAAGACCCGCCATTTTCTGGGGGTAGGTGGGGCTGGCGGAGCGATCCTTCCGTGCATTTGAAGTGGGCTTTTTTTAGTAGTTTTGGCGGAGGAGTTGGGGCGGCATGATTTGACCGGGGGGGCGGGTCTTCGTAATGGACGGCCGTGATCTGGAGGAGTTGCTGGGACGTCACGCATCTGATTAAATTATTTGCGCGGCGGGGCCCATCTCTTCGCGCCTGATTTAATGGAGATGATATTTGTGAATGGAAAAATCGAGCTTATCAGCATTGGGCTGAGTTGGCGGATCAGGCATCAGAAATTCTCCGATTGAAATCCAACCCTTGAATGAAGCATTAATGGCGCCGGTGTCTTTGGAAGAGGTAAAACTGGCAACTTTTCAGCAAGGGGCAGCAAAAGCCCCGGGACCTGACGGGATGAATGGCCAGTTCTATCAACATCATTGGGAGGACATTCAACACGATTTACACCGGCTAGTCAGCACTTTTTTCCAAACAGGTTACCTTGACCCAGAAATCAATAAAACACATATAGTTCTCGTCCCCAAAGTCTCTACCCCAGAAAGTATCACACAATTCAGAACCATTAGCCTTTGTAACTTCAGCTACAAGACCATTTCTCAAGTGATGGCGAATCGACTTAAGCCTTGACTCCCGAACATCATCGCAAAAGAACAAAGCGCCTTTGTTTGTGGGAGACAAATTCAAGATAACATTCTAATAGTTCAGGAGATCTTTCATCAACTGAGAATCAGGGAAAGAAAACGGAAGTTCCAGGCGATTCTCAAGCTGGATATGCAAAAAGCATATGATAGAGTGGAATGGGATTTCCTTTGCGCCTGTATGCTGAAAATGGGTTTCTATGCAGAATGGGTGGCTTTAGTGCAAAAGTGCATATCCACTGTAACTTTTAGTGTCAAAGTAAATGGGGAGCCCTTACAGTATTTCCACCCATCTCGGGGAATTAGATAAGGTGATCCACTTTCTCCTTATCTATTCATTATCATGGCCAACGTGCTCTCGTCTCTCCTAAATAAGGCTGTGGAGGATGGGAACTTGAAGGGGATCAGCATGAACAGGAATTGCCCAACATTGTCACACCTACTTTTTGCCGATGATGCAATATTCTTCTTGGATGGGAATTTAAGGGAGTGTCAGAACTTGACCAATATCTTAAATCAATACTGCTTTGCTTCGGGACAAGCAATCAATCTCAACAAATCAGGGATATTCTTTAGTGCTGGCTGCCCTCAGTCCCTTAAGAGCAATCTGGCGGCCGAACTAAGAGTACCTATCATGGAGAAAACTGGCAAGTACCTTGGCATCTCATCAGATTGAGGGCAAACAAAAAAACAAATGTTCGCGTGGATTCTAGCCAGGGTAAATATGAAGATGGAGGGTTGGAAGGAAAAACTGCTTTCAAAGGCGGGCAAGGAGATTTTAATCAAAACAGTGGTACAGGCACTGCCCCAATATGCCATGTCGATCTTCAAAATCCCCATATCGGTATGCAAGGCAATTGAGCAAAAAATCGCATCCTTCTGGTGGAAACAAAACTCTTCCACATCGGGTATCCACTGGAAAAAGTGGGAGACCCTTAAAGAGAGGAAAATAGATGGAGGCTTGGGTTTCAAGGACCTCGTTATCTTTAACAAGGCAATGCTAGGAAAACAAGCATGGAGACTTGCACAAGATCCGAATGCATTATGGAGTCGGCTAATTAAAGGAATTTACTTCCCAAACGGAAGCTTATGGTATGCGAAGAAGGGCTCTCGCCCTTCGTGGTGGCGGCAAAGCTTGTTAATGGGAAGGGATGCGATTTGTTCAGAAGTTAAGGGTGCGCATGGAATCCATTCTGGAGCAAAATTTCTGCTCCAGAATGCATTCCGGAACAGAAATGCGTTTGTTAAAAAATTTCCGGAATGCATTCTGGAGTAATTTTTGCATTCTGGAAAAAAAATGTGTTTGATAAAAACACATTCTATTTTTGCTTCCAGAATCAAATTTTGACTCCAGAATGACTTTTCCACAAAAAAAGAGAAGCTACAAAAAGTAGCTTCTCTCTTCCCGGAACTCTTCTGCCCTCATTTCCTTTTCTTTCTCTTCCTTTGTTCTTTCTTTTGGAATTCATTCTAGCCCTAATTTCTTTCTTTGTCATCCATCTCGTTCAACTTTTCAGTTTCGTGCCCTCCCCTTCCCTCCCCACGACTGCACCGGAACGGCTACTGCACGCGGCGGCGATCGATTTTGCCCTCCCTATATCTCCGCCTCTTCAGTTTCATGCTCTCCATCCCTCCTCGCGACTGTACCAAAACCATCACCTCACACGGCGGAGATCGATTTGGCTCTCCCTGGTGAGTCTTTGATTCCTCCAACCGTTTCACTTCCTCTCGTTAGCTTTTTCCTTCGGTTTTTTTTTGTGGGGGGGTCGTCGGTTCTGGGTCGGGGAGATCTAGGTCAATTCGGATTCGATTTGGGGGGGGGGGGGGGGGAATTGGGTTAGGGTTTCGATTCGCGCCCCCGATGCGCTCCTCGTCCCTGCGCGCCGATTGGTTTCGCCCGGATTTTTGGCCGCGGCGGCGCGCGGTTTAGGGTTTCATTTTTCGATTTCTTTTAAAGTTTTTTTTTGATGTTTCGTGGCGTGGTTGGGTTAACTTGCCGGCGTATGTGCTGGGTAATTGATGGTCATGTGTAGAAATGGCCGTGGGTTTCGTCGTGTTGATATTGATGTGTGCTGGTATGTAAATTTTGGGGTTCCAGCCCCCCCTGTATTTGGTTTGTTAGTGGTTTTAAAGATTGGATTTTGTTGCTGGGTTGCTTGGTTGTAATTGGAGTCTTTCCGGGTGCTCGGTTGATTAATTTCGTGGGAGATTGTTGATTATCGTCGGAAAGTATCTTCTGGTGCATTCGTTGCCTATCGGAACCTTTGTTTTCGTCGTCCGATGTTTGGGCAATCTTGATGTTGTGTAGTAGGATAGGATGCTAAGAATTCCAGAGTTTGCAAATTGTTCGTGGACTATGCTAGCATCTCAACGAGCCTGCGAATGATAATGGTTATACCGAAATTGCAATTCCGCTACCACGGATCAGCATTTTCGAGCTGTTTGACCACAAGAACTGGTGTATGACTAGCGACTCGAGGGCTTATACTCGGTGGTCGACATCTCGCTGTGAATTGAGACAATAACCCGATTTTACAAATCAAATAGGCATTTTTCTCGCACAAACCAGATTCTGAAGAACATCGGACTTGATCCTAGATTCTAAGATAGTGAGTTCATTCTCTAATTTTACAAATCACTCTTTGGTTGATGGTGCAGTTCAGCTTGGGACTTGTTTCAAATTTTAGCATAATTTTTTTTAACGTGAGTTCATTTCGGCTTTTTTTGCATGTTTCCACCAGTAGGCAAGCCCCTTACATAATTTGATATATGGACTATGCACCTTTTATGTTCTCTTTGATTGAATAGTGATTATCAAGTTTGGCTGGTGGTGTACTTCCTTTCTCAATAGCTTGAAACTAATGACATTAGGGTGTGAAATTCTCTGCTCAGGTACAATTTATGTTCTCTTTTGTAGATGTGCTCCTCTATTTAATTCTTGTTTGTTTGTTGAATCGCCATTACCAGCATTTGCCCCTGAAATTTCATCGATTTTACATAAATGGAATCCTCCAAATGCACGTACATGGCAAAGTGGACTGAGCCGTTGACCGAATTGTTTGTAAGTCTGATGGTAGATGAGGTAAAAATGGGAACTCGCACGTCATGTACCTACAACAAAGTTGGGTGGATTAACATTGAAAAAAAATTCAATGAACAAACAGGACTTCACTTTAGTCTAACACAGTTCAAGAACAAGGCACATAAACTGAAGAGAAAATATGGTAGTTTTAAGAAACTGCTTTCAACAACGGGATTTGGATGGGACGATGACAGCAAGAAGGTTGTTGTGGATGATGAAACTGTTTGGGCAAATCACATTAAGGTGATGTTACTTACTTAGGTCATCTTATTATTGTAACCTCAAATTTCAGATTTATAAAATGTTGAGTACTACCTGACATTATTTTTAAAATGGTGTAGGATAATACTGAATGGGCCAAGTTCAGGAAGGACGGATTTCCTTTGTATTCACAGCTTTGTGTTGTGTTTGGGGATACATACGCCACTGGGGAGTTTGCAATGGGAAATGCGCAAAGCGTGGCACCGTCGGAGGGTACAGGTGACAGCGGTGGTGGTGGTGACAATGATGTTCATGTCAACCTAAGCGAACCTGAACTGTTTTTTGAAACTCAAGCTGATGCGGAACAATTTAACGTGTCGACGAGCCCACCTCCAAAAAGTCACATGTTGGATAGGACTCCAAATGCCAAGAGGAGGAGAAAGAGCAGTTCGCATTCATTTGACGCGACTTGCAAAGCCATTCAAGAGATGATCAAAGCTAAGACGGTTCAAACATCAAGTGCCTCCGTCACCTCACAGTCCTCAACACCTGTGGACCCTTACTCTATAACAAATGTGGGTGTTGTCCTAAATGCCATGCCTGACTTGAACAAGGTTCTTTACATCAAAGCTATGAAACATGCTGTTAGTAATGCCTCTTGGAGAGAGGGCTTCCTAACATGTCTTCCCGAAATGAGAATTGCCTTTATTGAGGCTATGGATGAGTAGTTGGGGGTTGTTGAGTAGTTGTTAGGCTATAGTATGCCGTTTTATGTTTGAGTTCATTTCAGCTTTTCACTTATGTATTTCAGACATTGACTTGTCTTTATGACTATGCGTTTGTGATAATGTTGAAACTTTGCTTTAATGTGATTGAATTCCATAATTATCTGTTGAGTGGTATTAAATTCCCAACATATCAGTTCAAATGTATTGGCTTCCCTACTAACATGTTGAGTTTGTCTTCTTCTTTCGGATGATGGCCTAGGTAATATGGAAGGAGGTCAAAGTAGCTGGTCTAATGATCAAGTAGCATCAAGTGAAACAATTGTATCAGGTGAACAAGACTTTGATGAGGATGAGTTGAAAATATTGTTGGCATGGTTGTGTACTGCTTGGTTGCATAGGTCCATGCACAGGACAGAACGTATTAGGGACAGTGTATTAACAGGACCCTAATGGGTTAGCGAGCTTCTTCATGGACATTCAGATAGAGTATACGAAGCATTTAGAATGGAGAGACATGTTTTTCTTAACCTTTGTGGTTTGCTCAAGTCAAGAGGTTGGTTGGCAGACAGTCGATATGTTAGAGTAGATGAACAGGTTGCCATGTTTTTATTAATAATTTATCACAAGAACTCCAACAGAGCTTTATGTGAGAGATTCTAACGTTCAGGAGAGACTGTTAGCAAGTACTTTGTAGCGGTGTTGAAAGCTGTTTTAGAATTGGCGAAGGAGATTATCGTACCTCCTTCATTTGATGTTGTCCCAGAAGAAATTCGGATTGAGCCAAAGTTTAATCGTTACTTCAAGGTATGTTTTTCGTACATTTTCATGCACCATTTGATTAGTTTTGCTCACAATCTTGTCTAATGTATGTATTTAATTAAATGACAGGGGTGCGTAGGTGCTATTGATGGCACCCATATTCATGCTACCGTACCTGAACATATGCAGCCACGATTTAGAGGTAGAAAAGGCACAACTACTCAGAACGTGTTGTGTGTGTGTTCCTTTGATATGCGATTTACTTTTGTATATGCTGGTTGGGAAGGATCAGCCAACGATTGTCGGGTGTTGTCAGCTGCACTTGGCACACCTCACCTACAATTTCCTTGACCACCCGCAGGTGCTATTTTGACATATAATGAGTATTTGTGTTTATGATTTTGCTAGGATTGCATTACATGATCAATCCATGAATACTTTGTTGTAGGCAAGTACTACGTCGTCGATTCTGGTTATGCTTCAAGTCCAGGATTTTTAACACCATTTAAAGGCGAACGGTACCATATACCAGAATTTCGACGAAGTGGGGGACCAACAACAGCAAAGGAATTGTTCAACCACAGGCATTCTTCATTAAGGAATATCATTGAGAGATCCTTTGCGGCTTTAAAGAATCGTTTTTTTGTTTTGAGACAGATGCCTCCATTTAAATTTGAAAAACAAGCACAGATTGTAATTGCATACTGTGCGATCCATAACTACATCATTGAGCAAGAAAGGATGGATAAGTGTTTGTCCATATATGGAGATCCGGATTATGTGTATGAACCTACTGAACAGGGTACAGACGATGTAGCAACGATTGAAGAGGGAACCGAGATGAACATTATTAGGAAACGTATTGCCAATAAAATGGCTAGGGATAATCATATGCCGGAGATTCCATGAAGTTCGGTTTTCCACTATTGTATTGTACTTCCATTATTATTATTCAAGGATTGTTTGCTTTTTTTGCCTTTTGTAATATAATGTTATATTGTAGGATTTGTATTATGTGTAATTGAGGATTTGGTTCCAGGTCTTCTTGTAATGACATGTTAATTTGGAATTTCCGTTCTTTTTATTTGAGGATTTAAAAAAATGTACTAGATTTTATCTTAAATATCATGCATTGTAGGTTAAGATAAATAAAATTTTGCAATTGAGTTCGAACTATATTTGTTGCGGAAATAGAACCAACGCGTCGTTATCAAATATATTTCTCATCCAAAAGTAGAAATTTCCTCTTATTTGATCAAACAGATTTCTCTTTCAGAAATCAATTTCTGGAGCAGAATTAGTCATGTTTTACCAAACAGATTTCTCCTCCAGAAATCAATTTCTGGAGTAGAATTAGTCATGTTTTACCAAACAGATTTCTCCTCCAGAAATCAATTTCTGGCAAGAAATTGATTTCTGGAGCAGAATGGTTACCATTCGCACCCTAAATGGCTGGTGGGGAATGGAGAAAATATCAACATTAGAGAGGACAAGTGGTTGGAACAAGGAACTATCGGGGGTCCAGCAAATCGAGAAGACCCCCAAAGAGTAGCCGAATTGATTAATCACGAGACTAATACTTGGAACGAAAACCATTTGTATGAACTTTTTGAAGAGAACATTGTGACAGAAATTCTTGCCATTCGGATCAAGCCAAACCAGCAAAGGGATAAACTCATTTGGACAGGAAACTCAACAGGCGAGTACAAAGTCAGACATGGGTACTCCAATCTCCGTGCATCTACACCAAAGCAAAACGCAGAACAACCATCTTCTTCATATCAACCACCCCAAGCCCTATGGACTAAGATTTGGAAATTACACACCGAGCCCAAAATCCGTTTCTTCTTGTGGTGTGTGTGCCGTAATGCTCTTCCCACAACAGAAAACTTATTCAAGAGAAAGGCGTTACCTGACCCGCTGTGCCCAATTTGCCGGAAAAATCCTGAGACCACAGAGCACATCTTCATCTTGTGCGACTGGACCAAGGAGATTTGGTCAGACCCGAGGCTAAAGGTGGACGTCTCACCCCTAAACTTAACAAGAATGGACAAGTGGATTGAAGAAACTCTTACTGGTGGCGCAAATCAGTCCTCAAGAGAGCTGGTCGCAGTAATACTCTAGTTGGTCCGGAAGGAACGGAATGCCCAGATTTTCCAACACAGAACACCCAACCCAGGAACAATTGTTGACGACGCCTTCCTCCTCAGCAGCAACTATCGCACGCTAAACTCATCTCAGCAGAGTCGATGGGTGGAGAAAACCTTACCAGAACACTGGACGCCACCAGCAGCAGGGTCGTGGAAATTCAATGTCGACGGGTCTTGGATCGAAGGATCAACGGAGGGATCGGCGGCTGGGGTTTGTCGGGATCACAGAGGCTTGCTCAGGGCTGGGTTTGCTAAGAGGGCGATAGGATCTTCTCCGCTGGAAATTGAAGCCACGGCCGTGAAGGAAGCTCTGCTTTGGCTGCGGGATATGTCGGAACAGAGGAAGGAATCTGTGGAACATGTGATTATTCTATCTGATAACGTTTCCTCTGTGAATTTTGCTGCTCATCCTTCTCTGAGCCCGTGGGCTTTGAGAAGCCTCTTTGACGAATGCCATGAGCTGCTTGCCCAATTACAAGATGTTTCTCTAGCCCACTGTTCTCAAGAAGCCAACAAAGCCGCGGATTGGGTCACCAAGACTCACCGAACAGGGACCCTCCCCTCCAATTGGGGTTCTAGACCACCCCAACCTCTTTGGGATTTATTTTGTTTAGACTCTTGTCAATCTGGCCCCTGTAATACATCGTTTTATGAATGAAGTGAAATGTGTTTTGACCAAAAAAAAAAAAAAATCCAACCCGATCGACCGTTTGCGTTTGTAGGACGAAAGTGCTAATCTCCCGTGCTTCGGGTCCAGTTATTTGAAAGAAAACTATTTTAGGAAAATTATTTTCTAGCTTTTCGATATTTAGATGACGAAAAACTAATTAATGTACGAAAATTATTTTTCACAAACAACAAAAAACTTAGATTGGGAAAAAACGAACTCCTCCTTTGGGTAATAAGAAAATCACATTCCCTAAACTACCAGATAGATAAAAACTTTTCATGAAAAATGTGAAACAAACGGACCCTTTTATTTGATCATGTTGTCGATATAAACATGCGTTTCATACAAATGCAAATTTAATTAGAATTAGATAATGGGTTGAGGGTCGACCCCATGTTCCACGGCCCGTCCATCAAAGCACTAGAGAGGAAGGTTTCTAGTTTCTCCTTCGCCCCAGAGAGAGAGAGAGAGAGAGAGAGATACCTTTCGAATAGATGTGAGTGATGTCCGTATTCGTAGCTAAACGATTCGAAATACCAGTTGATCTTTAACCAGGAACAGATGGATGCATGATCCCAAGCACGAAAAAAAAAAATCAATGTGCATCTCTGCTATCGGGCATTCTTTTTATCATCGGTGAAGAAACAATAAAGAAAGAAGCTATGAAATATACATGTGATAACAAATTAGTCTTTGTCCATCGTCTCTTTATCGTGGGAGAATTACCAAAATTAACCTAAACTTATTGCGATTGTCGCAATTCAATCCTAAGTCTTTTTATTTTACAAATTGAATCATAAGCCTTTTGAATTTATGCAAAAAAAAAAAAAGATTTAGAATTAAATTGATACAATTACAATAAATCAGTGATGGAAAATGGGGAGAATGGAGATCTTCGCCTAACAATGCCTGGAACTGAAAATGAGCTGGGCCTGGACAGACGTGCCTTAATGAAGCCCATCTTGAACAACCAAAGACCAATCTTGTCCTTATTGACACAAGGATGAAAAATCTAGTCCTTCTCTTATTAATTTGTTCACACATGAGGCAGCAACGATGCATGGACACAGTTTAACATGGGGGGAAATTAATGCTTCGAATTTTTCGGGTGGCATTCAAAGTGGTTGCTGCGATGTCATGATGATCTGTTGCTTCGCGACGTCGCCGGAAGGCTGCTTCGGAGCATCCGCCATCGTGCCGGCGGTCGCCAAGTTCCGGTACTGAGGGGGCAACGCGGAAGCCTGGTGCTGAGAGTAGTAGGCCAGATCGTGAGCGGAGTATGAGTAGTCGAACCCCGCGTAGTTGTTGGCTGCCGTCGCGGGGGCGGCGGTGGCGGGCTGGGGCTGCTGACTGATCTGCTTAAGCATCCCAGGGTGTTGCTGCTGGTATTGCCCGGCCGGGACTTGGATCAGCTGCTGAGGCGAGGCCATGTATGAGTTGTACATGCTGGACGCCATCTCGTGCGTCGCTTGGGCCGGGGTCTTGGCGTGATACAACGGCGGGTTCAAGTCTTTGTAGCCGCCCGCCGTTTGGACTAGGGCCGGGCTGGAAGATGGCATGGGCCGGGCCTGGCCCACCACCGACCCGTCGGGCATTACGTACACCGGGTGGTGAAGCTGCTGCTGCTGCTGATGCTGCGACTGCGTCGAATAGACCGGGTAGTACGACGAGACCAGGACGGGGCTCTGGCTCTGGGCCGGGTGCTGGTGCGGGTGCGGGATGTAATGCGTGCTCATGTGCACAAACTGCTGCTGCTGCGGCTGCATCGGCTGCGGGGGCAACGGGGGCAGATGATCTGAAGGCGGGGGCAGGGCGTAGCCGGGATCCGCCGCCTGCGGGACCAGGGCTTGGGGGGCCGGGTCGGCCGGATCGGTCTTCGGGGTCGGGCTGAGAGGGCCACTCCTCTGTTCCTTGAGCCCAAACTGAGACTGGTCTTCGAAGTACATGGGCCTCGAGAGAGAGCTTGCGGATGCAATGCTACTATCGCTGCATGAATCACATACAACTTGTTGAACCATCTCACCGTAAGATATTCATATTGAAAAACCGTTTCATGTCAGATTGATTCGTGCTGCGTTTGTGCTAAGTCTGTCTCAATCCAAACGAGAGACCTAAATTATATGTAAATTGGCCAATGAAAAATCTAACTTCGGACCACCCCAAGAAACATAAAATAAAGGCAAGAAGACATACCTGGCGACCGAATCCGGGGAAGGCAAGTTGTAGGCGACCGATGCCTTCTGGTGCAGCTGCTGAACCTGCACGGGCTGAAGCATCGGCAGCGGCGGTTTCCGGAACGACATGGGCGGCGCTCCGTGATCCGACCTCTCGTCGTCCGACACCGCCCTGTTGCTCATGCTCTCGCCGCAGGCGCCGGCTTGATTCGCCACGACGCTCGCGCTCGCCGCCGCGTTCACTGCCGCGCCCGTCATGATCGCGCTCGGGATCGGCGGCGGCGGCGGAGCCACGAAGGGCCCGTAGACGTCGTACGGATGGCTCGCGGCGATGCTCATCTGGGCGAACTGGTCCTCGATCCCGGCGGCCCTCTGATCGACCCGGACCCTTATCGGAGGCAGATTCGACATCGAGGGCGAGGACGACGACGATCCGTAGGAGGAGGAGGAGGAGGAGTTCTCCACCACCGGCGAATCGGGCATTGCGAACTGCACGTCCTGCACGGCCTTCACTTGCTTGCCGATGTCGTCGGCCGCGCCGGCGGCGGCGGCTGCGTTGTTGTGATGATCTTCGATCTGGGCCGCGAGATCGCTGGAAGGGTTTGGGGGGTCGAGGTTGACGAGGCAGTCCATGGCGGCGGCGGCGGAGTCGGAGAAGCCGCGGGGGAGGATGCTGGCGTTGTTGAGGGCGTCGACGAACCAGGTCTCGGACTTGGAGTCGTCGAGGAGGGTGCCCATGGAGGTGGGGGTCTCGGGCTTGGCGAAGAAGAGGAAGAGGCGGAGGCGGCAGGGGCGGAGCGGGGAGGCGGCGCGGTCGTACTCGTCGACCATGTTGAGGAGGTCCTCGTCGTCGGTGACGGAGATGAGGGAGTCGAGGTCCTCGGAGGGGAGCTGGTACTTGAGGCCGAAGGGGCGGCCGTGGAGGAGGGTGCGGGAGAGGCCGGCGGAGAGGTCGGCGAGGGAGGAGCGGCGGTCCACCGCCACGATCCGGGTCTCGCCGCCGACGTAGCACAGGGACTTGTCGTGGGGGCGGGGGATGATGTGGCCCCCGAAGCTGCACATCAGGCGGAGCTTCGGCGGGAGTGGGTCGTCGTCGTGGGCCGCCGCCGACGCCGCGGCGTCGTCCCGGGGGGAGGAGGGGTAGGAGAGGGGGATGCCGGTGGCGTTGGCGACGGCGGCGGCGGGGAGCGGCGGGAGGGGGGGTGGATCCATCGGCGGCGGCGGCGGCGGCGGCGGCGGATTGGGGTCTCCGGCGTGTGGGGGTAAAATAGAAGAGTGCGACGATGGATCGTCTCTGTTTTTGACTCCGAGCAAGGCAAGTTCTTGGACTGGACTGGATAGAGAGAGTCCCCCCCATGCCAGGCTCGAGGTGGGGCCCCTCCCTTTTATTTCCATTGGCTGGTATTTTTGCTAATTAATAATTGCACTTCTGTCCACCCAAAAATAATAATAACAATAATTGTATATCTGCCGTCGCTATTTTCACGTCCCATTTTATTTAATTAAGACGTGTCTTTTTTCGTGTCGATCGATTGATTTTTTTAATATCTACTATTAATATATACCCCCACCTCTCTCTCAAAAAAGAAAAAAATTAATCTCGTCGCCTCGCTCCTTCCATACTATGTCCTTGCTTTATTTCCAAAATAAATTAGCTCTGAGATGTTTTTGAATCGGGAAAGACAGAAAGATGTCTTCTTTAATTCTAAGTGATTTCCTCGATCGTGAATTTAAATTGATAATGTTGCTAATTCGAGTTGTTAGGGAATTGTTCATTTGTTCTTTACTCTATTTTTAAGTGATCTTGACCGAAGTCCAAATCTAGCTATAACTTCTTGGCATTCGAACTGATGTTCCTTGCAATTTCAAAAAGAAAAAATAAATTGTTTTCTTCAAGCTAGGTTCGCGAAAGGTCAAAAGGGAAATTTCGAAATAAATCGAGATGGGAAAGTAATAACTCGTACATCATTAATTTGCCTAAAAAGATGTGTCATCAAGGCTAATTTGATAAGTTAACATAAAAAAAAGAGGATTGTATTTTAGTCTAAAAGAAAATGGTATGGTGAAGATCAAGCAATCCTCAAGCCAAGCAATAAAAGGAGAAATCTAGAAATATGATCAAAAGCGATTTCAAACATGGTATCTTGGAATGATTGGGTAGGATGCTTTTCTGTCCAAAAGAAGATTCCAATCTATCTAGAGAAAGATTCTATCTAAATCGAAAAACCCTAGACAGACATTTGGCTAAACATTTAAAGTTCATTTCACAAAATTAAGTCGAACAATGTCCGGTTCAACTAGGTAGTCCGGAATGATTTCTTTGGGCCGTTTTAACCCTATTCAACCACACACTTCTCATGAATTTGATGACACGAAAGAAATAACGATAGTGCTCGTGAATGCCGTTCATATTGAACCTAACCAAAGGAGCAAGAGACACCGAAAAAGCAATTTCTGACGGAGTTATTTGCGAAGCTTGGGATTGGGAGGAGCTCGGTAGTTACGACTCTATGCCTGTGGCATGATTATGTCATAATTCGAATAAAAAGTACAAATTGAATAAAGTAATCGAGATTATCGTATTTTTGGGTCGAGAACAAATTCGATTGGAGAAACTGGAGATCTTTCGTTCAGCTTAAGGGTGTGCAAAGGAATCGGGAACCGCTCGGAACCGGACCGGGCCGACCTGGAACTGGTGATCCATGAGGACCGGTCCGGTTCTTGGTTTCAATTTATTGGAACCGGTGCATACCGTCCGATTCCCAGTTCCAGGTACGAAACCGCCTCCCCAAACCAGACCGGTACATATTTATATAAAATATATTTTTTTAAAAATTACATGTTGTAGTTATATTGTGAAACTTGCTTATTTGATTTCACAAGAAGTAATATTCCTGCACAAAGTCCAATAATTCTAGAAGCTGACAAGGAAAACTTTTATTCGATGAAGTGACGAAATATTTATTTGGAGAATGGCTTCTAGTTTGCTTTCCCTTGAGAATAACCTTGTCTTAATGTGCTCGCTTAGAATTATTACTTTTTTGATTAATTGTGTGATGAAACCGAAGAAATGCCTACATAGAAACTAGGTATATTATGGTATTGATTGATTTGGTGCCATGGACCCATCTAAGAACGGTTCGGTTCTTGAGTCGGTCCACGGAACCAACGAACAGTTCTCGATTTCAATTTTTGGAAACTGGTTATTAATGTGTGGTTTCCGATTCCAAAAATAGGAATTGCTCACCTGAACCATACTCATCCCTAATTTCGCTCTCATCAACTAAGTTCAAATTGTTCTGGTCGCTTGATCCCGGATTTAATAAAAACCAAAGCATACACCTTTTATTATTATTATTATTACTTGGAAGGAGTGGGAGAATGAGCTGGCCAATGCCATGCAAGTTTGTGCAAGGTGTACCACCACAAAGATGACTACGTGAATGGGAGTGCGCACGTGCGCGTCCATGGGGGCACGGGCGCGGCCCCACCGCACGACGCTTCCATCTGAAGCGGCGGACGGTCAAAGCAACCCCTCTCTCTTTCCACGTGTACACGCCGGACGAAATAAATAAATAGAGAAATAGAAAAAAAAAAGAGGAAGAAAAAAGAAAGGGGAACGGCTTTTTGCTCGTTTCGGATACGAGGAAGGTGTTGGTCAGGAATGGAACCCGAGAGCGCCAATGCCGGCGACCCCTTTGGGCCTCGGTGGGCCCCACCCACGGACGACAAGGAAGGTTTAGATTCGCTAATCTCTTCTTAATCGAAACATTAACCGCGATAATCGCGACCACGTGGTGTTCCCGGCTGGATCCCGTTGTCAAACGGGTGGGTCGAGTTGGGTTGGGGTCGGGTCGAAAATGATCCGATCCAAATTGGCTAATTTAACCCGTTTCTACCCATTTCAGTGCAATAAAAACCTAGTGACCAATACTCGATCCAACCTGATCCATATTATTAGCACTTTCATATTAAACTTAATTTAGGAAAACTCATACACAAAATGAGATGAGAGACCAGTGAGTAATCGTCCGAGAAAAAGTGAAGAGAGAGTCATTGAGGTGGGTTGCAGCTAAGTAAGTTGTAAGCCCATTTAACATCTATATTGTTTCGAGTTTTTACCATTCTATATCAATTTATGATCAATTTATCGAATATAACTAACTTATATAGCAACTCAGCCTATCAAATATGGATTAAGAAATGGGTTTTTGATCTATTTCGACAGGTTTACTCCTGGGAAAAAAAAAACCAACGGAGATTGGCTCTCAAATAACGTCTGATCGGTGAATGGTGTCGTGATCAAACACAGCGCGCACACAATACTTGACACATGACAGCTTCGAAGTGCGTCGCTCGTTAATTGGAGACGGATTTTGGAGATGTATTGAGCAATTTTCGAATTAGTTAAAAGAAGTCGAGCTCTTCTGAGCTCAATTTCTCCATTAATCTGCGGGTTATGTTTAGTGGTTCTTTATTAGTGCTTCCGGTGGAAATCCTATTTGCTATCCAGGGACCTCGATGGGGCCCACCCAATCCTGATCAAGCCCGTTGGGCCCGAAGTTCGAAATGGGCGGGCTTGGATAGGGGACTTCAAGATGTGGAACACGTCTAAGATGTTGGTTGCGTAGCTTTTAGATTGTGCCTTTCACGCCAATATTTGAAAATCGGGTCGTACCGACCGGTTCGACCCGGTATCCGTGGAGCCACGGGTCCGGTTCACACCCTTTTACCGTGGATGGCCAAAAAGCCAGCCAAGCTAGTGAAAATCGGCCTTGCCGGTCAAACCGTTTCGGTATGAACCGGATCGGATCGGGCCGGTCCATTTTGAACAATTGTTGAACTTTACGATATAAGTTTTGTTGTAGAGGGCATCATTCGAGCCTCTAATTTCTCGAACACCATTCATTCACTTTACGATTAGAGCTGAATATAGCTTTTGCTCTATAATTGGAAAATAACTAAGTTTATAATAAAAGGTTATAATAAACACATGGTGAGATTCCACCCCATGACCTCCAAAATAAATGGAGGCGACCTTACTAACTTGACCATACTTTATATACCAGTTATTTTTCGAGCCATCCGATTTTTTAAAGATTGAACTTGTGTACTATTTGTCTCGTCGATATGACCTTTGGTGCGATTTTCAAGATGTTGCTTCACATAAATATAATAAGTGGCACACATGCTAACGCTATTACGCATGGAAAAAGTTTTGACCTACAAGACTCTATTAGACTGATTTAGGGCCCGTTTGGTAACGTGCCAAATAGTGAAAATTTCTGTTCTTTTGTTCCCAGAAATAGTTTGGGAACAGAAATGCGTTTGGTAAACTTTTTGTTCCTCGGCACATTTTTGCAAAAATTTGTGCCGAGAAACAGTTTTGGAAGAGAAATAAGAAGTAAAAAAAAAGTTGCTTCTTATTTCTCGGCACAATTTTGAGAATCAGTTTTTTTTCTTCTTTTTCTTTTTTTTCTTTTCTTATTTTGTGGTGTTGTTCTTGGCTGAGCCGGCCGCCGGCGACCAGCGGCCGGCCACCGGCGACCGGCCATGGCCAAAGAAGAAAGTAAAAAGAAAAAAAAAATTTAAACAATTCAAAATATTATTAAAATATTATTTGGGAACAGAAATTTTGTGTAGTTACCAAACGCATTTCTGTTCTTTTCTACTCTAGGAATAGAAATTTTGGACATTTATCAAACGCCTTCAAATACTCAGAAATTATTTCCGGGGCACAGAATAAAAAAAAATCATTTCTGTTCAGAAATAGCGCCCGGGCACAGAATGGTATTCATGCGCACCCTTAGCGATTGAGCGGAATGGTATGGTGGGTTAGACGGGCGACCCATGTTTAATTCTCTACTTTCATGCAAATGATTTCATGTTTTGGCCGTGTACGAAGGCTTTTTTCTCGTGTCTTACCTAATCCATGATGCTAATTGAATATTTTATGAGTTTGAGATGTACCAACTCACAGTTCGTCTTCTAGTCTTTAAAAATAAAGTCGACCTACTTAAGTATAAATCTGCATATATATGGAGTCGGGGTAGTGGAATGATAGAGCCGAACTCGACCTATCTCGATAAGAAAGAAACATTTAACAAAGTCCTCGTCACGTGAATACATAGAAGAGGAGTTTGGAGAATGCAAGATTAACCAAGTCAACGGGTTAAATCTTCTTTTCTAGAAAAGTCAAGGGACAAACCCCAAAAGGATTAAATTATTATGTGCTCTAAAGATCATTTTAATAAGTTTTCATACTTTAAGCATGATCTATAAAATTGTTTAATCACCTCTATCTATGTTGAATGGGGAGCAAAAGCCTTTCATCCTTGACCAAAGGTTTCGAGGCCCAATGGATCAAGAATCTGGCCTAGGTAACTGAGCAAACC